CATAAATGTCTTCTTTGAGTGAAAATAAAGAAGACAACATATTTCTGGAAACAGAAGCTTTTCCTCAGCACCTCTGCTACTCATGATTTCATACGTGTGTAGTGTTTTGCACAGGTCTGGGTATACCCGCAGTTTTCGAGCACAGTTTGTGGCGAGTACGGGTATGGGTCTGAGGTTTTCAGAACTGTGCAATACCGCAAGACCTGCGGTTCTTGCGACGGGTTTGGGTCTTGGTGAGCAGAAACGCTCGAAGGAGCACTTTAACCAAACTTTTGCGGTTTGCTGAGCAAACAATGTGGTTCAATCATCACCTCTCGCATATTCTTGTACTAACATGGTCCAGTTTGAGAGGCTTGAACTCAAATTTGAGGCTGTCAGAGGCTTGTTCATGGAGATGTACCATCCTGCACCCTTTCGGTTCCAAAATAGAGTACCAACAGCCAATAACAGCAACAACTATGGTGACACTTATCACTTGCTATGGGTTTAACCCATCCGGTGCATGCAGAGCACAGGTATATTCGACGCTAGAGTAGGTTGACATGTGGACTTGGCGTGGTTGAGAACCAGGCGGACCAGGAGGTGGGACGACTCGGACATCCCTATTGATAAGTGACAAGCGTACGGTAACAAGACTGTGCTCTACAACCTTCTCTCATCCTGTGTCTCCAGGCTACTTATTGAAAAATCAACTCATACTGTGTTTATAGCAGTCAACACGCTTCACCACCATATAAAATAACCGCAGTTGAGGAATCATAGTGGCAAGAGGCAAATCATGCCACACCATGGGCTACCCATACCCGTACCCATGCAGGTACGGAGTTTGGCGGGTACGGGTACGGGTTCGTCTCTGGCACCCGTGGTTGGACTTGTGCAAAACCCTATACATATGCATATATACTAGGCAATGACAGACAAGCCGATGAAATGTGGCACAGTGTGTGTTCCTTGGTAGAGGTTGTACTGTGTCCAAGATATTACAATATGGATGACCCTTGTTGAGGGTTTCGTGTCATTGTGATCCGCCACCTGCTGCACAGGTTGTACCTCCAGCCATGATCTTCATGATGATTATCAAGACTCACAGAGACTATATTGCTCATAGTTCTCTATTGTGGGTTTCTGAAGCATACAGGTATATGTATTCTGGTCAGAAGCATTAATAGACATCACAGCTGGCTTGCAACCTCACACAATGCCACACAACTCCGCCCCAACACTTAATAAATATAGTTAACAAGTTGCATCACAGCACATGCTCAGCAGCTCACACAACAAGACACAACACCAGCCAACACAGTGTCTTTTTCTCTTACAGCAAATCTTGGAATTGCCCACATAGTGACACAAGTCCTCCACCACAACTTGCTTCTGGGTTGCATGAGGTTTGGTGTCGCATACCAATAGAACTAGAGTGAGTTCTGTTTGGCTGAATTAATAGAACATATTCTGATACCATGCCTCTGCAAGGCTGTACAAATTTTGTGGCTTGACCACTACTTTGTACATTGCTATACTGCAGTCTGTGCCTATTCTGACATTCTATTCTGAAATTTAGCATAACTTTGTCGATTGTGTGCTACTAAGGGAAGATCTTGAGCAACTATTTTTCTTTTGTAAGAGTATGTGCTCAGTGGTTTAATATGCTGCCCCAAACCGCTCAAGTACCAAATGTGTCGGCTGTGCTCTGCAATGCAAATTCGGGTATACTGCACAATTTTGATCAATCATCAGTCACATGTCACAAGCCCTCCAAAGTCAAGGAAGTTTCACAGGTGTAATATATCACATCTGCAAGTTTTGAAACCATCGAGCAGATTTGTGTCCCAAAACGGGAATTTCTGATGTTTTTTTGTTGATTTTTTGCCCGGCGTCATGCGACTTCACCGCGTTGACAAAATTATTGAGCACAGAGGGCCTGTCACATGTCACAGTATTCGCCGAATTGATCAAAATTATACAATAGCTCAAAGCAAATGTCAGAACATGATATGGCAAAATCTGGCATAGCTCAGCAGCCTCTGTTATGGACGCTTTTTCTTCTCTGTTGTCTGGTATATCTTTTCCTTTTCTTTTCTTTTACCATGTTCCTAGTTAGGCGGCGTACTCCCGGACTTTGGCTCGATCCCTTCTCTTTAAAATCCCTCTAAAACATCCTATAAACACGTCTTCTTCTCTGACGGACACGTATACTTACTTCAGACACGTATGATATCTTCCTGGACATGTATAATGGATTGCGGATACATGGTTTCTTATTGACATGTATTATCTTGGCTCGGCTTGACTCTGGCTCGGCATCTCATACAAACTCTTAGGCTGATGTGGCAGTTCTCACGGACTTGTATTAGTATAAATATTGGACCTCTATAGTCGAGATTCCCCAACCTGTTCACTTGTATCGTACCTACAGTGTTACAGTTGAATTCACCCCAGAACTCTCAATATCGTCTTGTGCGACCTCAAGATGATACCCCTCGAATCTCGACTCCAGAAGAGCTTTACCATTTGTTATGGACTTATTTTCGTTTCCTTTTTGCTTATGACTCGAGGAGTAGTATTTCTTTATTTAACCACATATACATCTTCCACTCATATGGCCGGTTGATGAACATTTCATGGACTAGTAGACATGTCTCGACTCCTTTGTATTCTCGACTACGGACTACATAGCTTTTCATAGCCTTGGACTGCGACTCATAGGTTTCCATACACTTGTATACTATATTTATTAGGTATATGTTTCCGCAGCGACTACGGACTGGGGCACAGTATCGATACGACTCAGACTGACTTATTTATCTGTCTCATAGCCTTCATGGCTGCGCCTGTATTTAGTATATAAGGACGACCCTAGTAGAGGGGAGTTCTTTAACCTATTCATCTCTGTTTTATCTGGTCTCCTAGCTTGTGCTTGAACTAGTCCTTTCAGCAGGACTAGCTTCCCTTATCGACATCAAGACCCTTTGACTGTGTAGAATCGCCACTACACCAGTTACTCGAACCAGAAGCAAGGCTTCTTAGAACACGGCTGATCGCACTCGTGATAGACATCACGCCTGCACTTGAACGCGCGTCCACTTTTGGATCACTATCCAAGCCTGGACATTACACCATTGAAACCTAGAATCTACATCAGCTCTAGCAGGACACCTGCCTCAGAAGAGGATGCCTCATCTGTACGAACTCGATCCTAGACCGGACACCGTGTCTAAACGAACCGAGCCAGCACCCCGGGTCCAGAACCTCAGAAGCTCCTTGCTGATCGCCCAAGCCAACAGCGCCGAATGGCTCGATCGTTCCCCGCACCACGAAACTGACGCCGCCCTTAAGCCTAGCTTAAGCCCGGTCGTAACAGCCTCAGCCTCTCTATTGCAAAATTGGGTGTAGCCGGGCAAAACAAATTGATCAAAAATGCCCTATGACCTGTGACAAAATGGGAATAAGCCAGGCCATAGAACCTTTGTGGTGTGTGATCATGGCATCTGATTGAAATGACATCAGCAAATGTGACAAGCTGTTTTAGCCAGTTTTGGCCAGTTTGCTTGGTTTTTCTCAGTTCTGAAGAATGGACAGTTCGGGCGAGTTTGGATTTTGAAGGAATATCTTCCCAAACTCAGTGAAACTCACAGGAACCGCGAAACTGAACGAAACCACAGATATCAAAAATGCCCAAAAAATCATACTCGACGTAAACTACTAAACTGTAAAAGAGGTGGAACTATGGTTTCTCTACGATAGCACTCCTGTACTCTGACGATCTCGTTAAAGGCCAATATACAACTCTACGCATACGGACCAATGCTACTCTACGGTGCTTGCTTCCTCACTAGTAACCGTTCCTCATCGCATGCACCATTCCGACTGTGCCCCCGGTTAGTATAAACATGGTGGCTCGCTATTGCAGTCCCCGTGCCCACCAACTGTGAAAGACCGTGCAATGGAGACGATCTCGTTAGTCCGAGCAAAAGAACACCGCCACCGTGAGACTCAAGTTTGGCGTTAGTAGGCAGTGTCATGGGGCGGGACTCCTGTTCAAATCGTCGCTTTGAGGTGTGAACGTTTGAACCTCATGGCGGGACGGCACAAAAGTAGGGAGCAAGTGAACTCTTCAAGATTGGAGGATGTCCAACTTTATAAGTCAGACGATGACGACAGTGGGATAGGCCGAGCGGAGTTGTAAGCCGTTCACAGTACGATCGTCAGTGCATCAATGCAGCATTCATGCTCTTCCTCCCGCTGACGACTATGATGCACGCTGGCGCCTGCCCGCTATCCTATTGTTGAACATAGGGACGTTCTAATCAATCCAGTATACTAGAGTAGCTAGATTGGATTAGATTGACGTACCGGAGTTACCCGAACCTGTACTTACGCTTAGGATCTAGTCTATGAATAGATCCTCGTCTTGTCTGTTCACGCTTCCTGGGGACGTCTCTTCCAACACCTATAAGGTCTGCATCATCAGGCTCTCTGGCTATTATAATGTGCGTGGTCCTCTGCCTTTTAGATCCCGGTACCCCTTAAGGCTTAAAACACGCATCACAGACAAGTGTCGCGCGACTCGCCGCTTCTCACTTCTTTCTTAACCGCTGACCTGTCGTCGTTGACACCGTGACACGCTCGCCATGGCTTTTGGTCAGAGGGCTTCAAATCCATTGGTGACAAGCTTACATTTGATGATAAACCGTATGTTGTGGACATGGCGCGAGGTTTATCGAAGGGAGAACGGATCCCGTCCATGGATGGACGAGGACCAACTATATAGTATAAACATGTACAAACAAGAAAGGAGGTGTGGCGAGAGGTGTGGCGTACGAGGTGACGTGATGTAAGTACGATATGATACCGACCTGGTTCAACACTCCCCCTCATCACAGAGACCGAGAACTACTGTAAGCAGACACTCCTCCTGGATGGGCAATTCAAGAAGAATAAGAAGAAAAGAGGGAAAAAAATAGGGATGGGAAGGCAAAATATTGGGGGAAAATAACATTTTAGAACGGCGTGACAGGGCCAATGGCCAGGGTAGCAGATGGATCAGAAGGGGTAGCAGAGTTACCAGAAATATGAGAAGTAGGAGAATTAGAACCTGGAAGAAGACCACGCTTCCTTGACCACCACTCTGGACGACAGTCCGCAGCCGCTCCCCCATCTTCATAGCAATCTTCTGCAAAATGACCATTATTCTTGCAGTGCGTGCAGCGGGGACGAGAATTGGGAAAGTTACGACCGTTGACGACAAGGGCTGTGGCAGAAGGCATGTTCGGAGTCGAGGAGAGGCTATGAGTGATAATGCCGTCAACGATGAGGTGTTCTTCAGCGGCGATGAGGATAGTTTCAGCAGGGATAGAGGACTGGCAGGACATAAGTGTCCAAAGAACGGGACCAAAGGGACCTTGAAGAGGGAATGATTGAGAGGAAAGGGACCAAAATTCGGCCTCGGACCAACGTGCACCAGCACGATTGGCACGATCACGAAAGGCCCAGAGAGTCTTGAAGTGGGAAGTGATGGAGGTTGAAGAGGGATCAATGCGAGTGGAAGTGATCTGGGAACGCATGTGCTGGACGACAGCAGGGTCTTGAATTTCGAATGCCAGACGAAGGCGGGACCAGACGTCGACGGCGGAACGAACGTCGTGGCCCTCTAGACCAAAACTTGCCAGATCGGCAATATTGAGAAGGATGGTGTTCCGAGCACGCTTGTCACACCGGCGCCACTCTTCGTCGGATGACATGTACAAGCGCTGACCATCATCGACGTCGGGAGGAAGAGAGATGGGGAGAAAAGTAGAAAGGATATTGTCGGAAGTGAAAAGGGATGCTTGTGGAGTACTGGGAGCCTTGGATTCGGTTTCGGATGGTGGAGGAGATGATGCCGCAACAGGAGAGGGTTTTTCGGAGGGACGGAAGATCGTACTGAGCGCATATTCAGCCAAGTCGATGGTGTCAAAGATGTGAAGCATGCGAGGGCCGTTGGGATGACGAGGGAATTCTCGAGGCCGATTGGTTACGGGAGGTTGAGTTGTATGATGGGAAAATTTTACTGATGAGAGCGGGCCGGTTTCCGGGAGGCTCGTGAAAACTGAGGGCCGGTTTATGGTAGGCGCTAATAGATGATAAGATGGCGAAGCTCGAGTCGTGTCCTAAAAGCGAGGTGCAGGGCCCATAACCTGATGAACCGTATGTCGTGGACACGGCACGAGGTTTATCGAAGGGAGAACGGATCCCGTCCATGGATGGACGAGGACCAACTATATAGTATAAACATGTACAAACAAGAAAGGAGGTGTGGCGAGAGGTGTGGCTTACAAGGTGACGTGATGTAAGTACGATATGATACCGACCTGGTTCAACATTTGATATCCTTGTTCCTGTTGCTAACTAGCTGTCCTTCCTCTACTCGGAGGTGGAGGCGACGCGAGTTGAGATGAACGTTTGTTGGACTACTGTACTTTTTCGCGCACAAGTTCACGCCACCGCCCCTCGGCTGTTGCCGAGATGACATAATCCATTCGTGTCCCGGTTCGCAAGCAGACCGGGACAAGGGACAATGTTCGTGAACATCGACGCTTTTGCAGGGAGACGACCTTTCGTAACCGTTCAACAGGCATTTACCCTCTGAATTTGGGTGGAAGAGCTCACGGAGTAGCAAAATCTAGCCCAAAGTGTGTCTCAGAGGCCTTGCTGAGGTCCATTTAGGAGCCTAAAATATATTCACATTTTCGTCAAATTTAAGTCAAATTTTAGTTTGTCCTACTTACAAGTTCCGTGCACGTCAATGGGGTAGGACTGTCCCGCGGCACAAGTTCGTTCGCGGCCCCCATGGGACACGGGACACAAACTTCTGCGCAAAAAACTACAGTAATGCATACGCATTATTTGTGATGTCTTTAGTGTGGCCATCCGTCCAATTCAAAAACTGGCATTTTCGGGCTTGTCAAGGAAATCTGAGTGGCCGGATGGGCAGCAGCGGTAGAGCAGTGGTAACAGCGACGGTAATGTGGTCTTGGTGGCCAGTCCGGTACGCCCCTTTTGCATCATCCTTTATAATCTATGCTGATTCTCAACAACCTCCCCGACCAGCTCATCAACAATCCTTGAACACAACATCCTCTTATCGTGATGCTTACTGAACCCCGTCCGTAAGTTTGTACTTGTATGTTTCTGTTGTCGCGATGTTCGTCGTGGCACTGCCGTCGCTGTATCTAGTATAGTGTACTTATGTACAGCATTCGGAATTATTTGAATATCATACTGTACTTTTTCGACCAAAGGTTCATCAAGAATTTACGTCACCCATCAATTTCGCCCAGGTCATGGTTCAGAAACCGTGCATGAGCGTGACGGGACCCGTAAATGGTTCAGAAAACAATGTAGGCGCTTGCAAAAATGATTATTTTGCGCAAGTGCCTGCCGAGGTCACTGTTCGCTCACCATGTGTTATGCGTGAGGTCCCGCAGGATTTTGTTCGGTTCATCAACGCGGAGAACGTGTGACGAACCTTTGGTCGAAAAAGTACAGTATTTTCATTGTGATTCATGCGCTCGTAAATCCCAGCAAAGGACCTGAGAAAGCCCTATAAAGCCCCCCAAAACCCTGAAAATAATCGTTCACTTTTGTAGTTTGAGCAGTAGTTTGACGGTAGTTTGACAGCAGTTTGACCTGAGTGCGCAAACTACAACGGAGTTTCCAAACTCCGAATTCTCTTTCAGAGTTTCCCAGATCAAGAGTTTCGAGCAGTTTGAGGCCGTCCAAACTCCCCCAAACTGAGCGAAACTAGGCCAAACCAGATTGTCAGGTTTGCTGATGGGTATAGTATATGCAAATTCTGTAATGTACGCTCAGCATAGAGTGTGGTGTATCACCGGTCTACTGTACCTTACTACCTTTTCAACCAATTGTTCATCAAAAATGTACATCACCCATCAGTTTTGCCCGGGTCACGGTTCAGAAACTATGTGTGAGTGTGACAGGACCCGTAAATAGTTCAAAAAACAACGTAGGTGATTGCAAAAATGATCATTTTGCACAAGTGCCTGCTGAGGTCACTGTTCGCTCACCATGCATTATGTGTAAGGTCACACAGGATTTTGTTCGGTTCATCAGCTCAGAGAATGTGTAACAAACATTTGGTTGAAAAAGTACAGTATTGGTCTATTGATGTCTATCGTAGAGCCAGTAGAGTGCAGTGGCTTTACTGATGTGGCCACTTCCAAGACCAGTGGCTACCTTACATACAAAAGTTCCAATTCCATATACCTTTCAAAGGCATTGTCAAAGACCAGAAATCATAAATTGAGTCCAAATAAGGCTTAGGGAACATGCATCGGTTCTTCCACAATAGTCATGAGTATCCATACCTAGAAATAACAACAATATAACTACATAGTCCATTTCGTATATCTAATCTAGGCACTAGCATCAGCACCCATCGGTGACTGTAGACTCTGCATTGACACTTGTGGAGCGGCGACAGCATACATCTGCGGTACAGGGGCATAAGGCCAACCTGCAGGCCTTGCCTGGCTGGCACTCCCGCCCTGCATCCAGGGTAGACCATGGCCCATATCAGAGTACGGCGCAGCAGTAGAAGTCGACAGCGATGCCTGTGATCCTGCCGGTCTGGGTGTATAAGGTTGCGAGTAGCTACGAGAAAGAGAGACACGACGACTAGCTGCAGTGGTCGGCCGGTGCTCGTGGGGGGTCATCGGCCTCTGTGAAACAGTGTCAGTTGTCACAGGCATCGTAAAGTAATGCGAGACTTGAGGACGACTAGTATCAGTACCCGAAGTGGCAAGAGTCGACGGCCCTGGTGCCAGCGTCAGCACCGACGTCATGCTCATTGCTCTTCCGTACGTGGTACGAGTACTATCTCCCTCGCCAGTATGTCCGTTTCCGTTGTTGATCCCTCGTGGATACGGGGGAAAGTTTACTAGATGTGGTATGATAGAACCGACGCCCTGGGAAGAAACCGTCCCCCATGAATCGATGCTATCGTGTGGCGAGCGAATGTGCTGTGGCGCAGAGACGGGCGGATGCTGCGTTGGGGGACGGGAAGGATACGAGCGTGTTGTAGGTGCGGCGGCAGCGTCGTAAGAGGAGAATGGAAGAGGAGAATGTGCTCGACGCGGAGTGGGTGCATCAAGCAGACCCAGGCTATTGTCGTATGACTCGGTATTAGAGGTAGAAGGCCCTGTGCGCGAGGGCCCAGCCTGCGAAGGTCCAGCGATCATGTTGACGCCAGTCGAGGAACTGCCTAGTCCAGAAACTCCCGTCTCCGCCGCTCTGAAGTCCGCCATCGAAGATGAGAACGCGCGTATACCCAAAGCATTGCCCGAGGTCGGCATATGACCCTGTACCACTTCGTCCATGTCCCGTTCCAGGCGCCGCGCTCGAGCCTTCTCCCGATGCTTGCGCTTCCTCTCCTCCCGCTCATGCTCTGTCTCGCCCTCGTGACGATGCCTTCGTCGTTCCCCATTTTCAGCATGTCTACCACGAGATCTTGATCGTGGTCGAGGAGTAGGACTGTCTGGCCGATAGTCAAATTCGTCAACCTCCAACCGAGATGGACGGGATGGGTGGACGCCTTCGGGATTCCGAGCACCGGGCATAAAGGCAGCACCACCTGAAGGCTAAGTGAAAGGAAACCCAGTTAGGAAAAGTTGAGATATCATGTACTGATAACCGAAAATTTACTCTTGGTTGGGGCTGCCCAATGGGCGGGATGTCAGTAAGGGTATACGCTGAACTTGTCCATTGATCGATCAGTTCCTCTCGTGTTGACTCCTCTCCAGGATACGTCGTAGGCTGAGGCGGCCGCGGAAGGGGATTGGTGTTGTGGCCCGTGGTGCTCTGATACTCGTCGGAGGAAGATGCAGTGTAGATGGAATTGACATACGCCTCCGGGGGAGTGGGCGTTTTTGTGGGTTCTGGAGGAGCTCCTGTTTCTCGAATGATGCGGGCGCGGAGTTGTTCAGATTCGTTCGGAAAATTATCGTTCCAATACGCAAGTTGTGCTTGGCATAGACTGAGCTGATACGTAGCACAACGTTAGTCCTGAATAAGCTTGTATCGCACAAGAGAGCGATAGTACCTGTCTGTCGAACAAAGTGAAGCGGTGTTCATCATCCTCGGTTGATAAACAACTGGGAAAGCCGCTGAACAAGAGCTACGTACTTGGACATATTTTCCTCGATGACTTTGGCAAGACGCTTGTACTCGACGTGCTCGGCATAGCGCCGCTCAAGCTTCGCCTGAAGGTCCCGCGATTTCTGTTTTTCCTCCCGACGCTTCGACTGCAGGTCCTTGAACCGTTCGAGGGTTGAAAGTGCTGCTTGCAGTGCGGGATACTGGCAGTATTGAATGCGAGTCAGTTATTCTCACTTGACGTTCAGATGAAAAGAGTTATGTGGCGGACGACGCCACCCGTCGAGGAAGACAATACGGTGCGCGATACAGCACTCCTGAAAGTTCGCAGTTTCCCCGTAATGGAAGGAAACAACAGGAGTCTCGGGAGCGTTGTACACGCACACGACCGATTGCTGCATCGCGCACAGAAAGACTGGAAGATAAACACACCGTGTCCGGAGATCTACCCTCGAGCCATATCTGAGCATCTCTCGCCACATCCATCCAATCGTCGTTATTGGACTGCCCAGCCGATACAAGGGCGATCTGTTCCAACCATTTCGTTACGTCCCGGGCGGTTTCGTTCTCCGGCGATTCTGTGGGACGATCGACATGCAGTCGCTTGATACGATCTGGGTTATATCCCCGGCGGCAGAGCGGGCAGTTGCTGGGGGTGGTCTTCTGTAGACAGCTGAAAGTAACACGCTGTGCGTGAGCCATGTCGAAATTCGAGGTCCAAATGATAACTCGACGTACTCCTGGCAGAAGGTATGGCCACAGGGTATAGCCCAAGGTGTCTTCCCGTCAGGAGGCGGCAAGAGATTGTACGTCTCAAGACACACGTCGCAGGTCGATTGACTATGTACAAGAAGCATGACAGCGGTTCGCTAGGTCGCGTCGAGCTCGATGCCCGTCAGCAAGACATATAACGGGGAGAAGATGGGAAGAGAAAGCACAGCAGGAGAGAGCGAGGCGAGACAGATCATGGACGCTTGCCGCATGTCCTGTCCTTTTACGTACGCTCGCACGGATTTGGCACTTCGGAGACAAGAACAAACACGGAACGGGCCAAGCGTCCGGTCTTGGTAAAAGCAACCAAGAACGGCCAAAACAATAGTGGCGGAATCCACCTCTGATTGTACCAACAATTTTATGGAGGGCTTCCGTAAGTCCTAACGATACGGCACGCCCAAAGGGGGACAGATACTCAGTGGTTTGAGATGATCATGCAATAAAATGGTGTCCACTGGATGAATACAATTATACTTACAATGAATGCGATCGTGACATGGAGAACGGTCCTAGCTAGTACATACACACCGGAAGCAAAATAGAAAATCACAGTACGGAATTTTTGGATCCCAGGCAAAACAATAGCACAGAAAGCATAGGAGGACAAAAGAAAAACAGCTGGTATCCCCAACAACGATCCTCAGAGTAAAATACAAGACAGACCACATGCTACTGCGGCAAAAGACATTCACAGTCACGTCTTCACCATCTCTGAACGGCAGGGCTGTTCGGCGGTGTGAACACAGGCACGTCGGTTGTCAACTTTGAGAGCGCGCTCTTTCCACCCATGGCATGAGCAACCCTTGGTCTCGGTGACGAGATCCTGGCCGGCACTGTATGAGTAAGCTCAGAGCGAGCTCGTATGTTCTTCATGAGACTATTGCAGAGAACGTCAGCATATTGAACAGAGATTATGATTGGGGACAGTGAAAGATGACCACTTACCCGTCTCCCGGGTCTGCCCTCCTCTCTACCTTCACCTCTTCTTTCTTCTGTCCACGATCACCGCGGCTTACGTCCTCCACCTCCGCCACTGAATCAAAACTCTTCGGGAACAACGGACCCCCAAGCCTCCACGAATATCCTTCATAGCCCGGCGCGCCCGTCAACATGTGCGCCACATTCACTGTATTCCTCCTCATCGCACGAGGTCTCGCAACAGTCCCATCGGCTCGCATACCTCCGCCTTCCTTTGCGTCGATAGAATGAACAGAAGTTCCGGCATGCCTGCCGATCAAAGCAGATGGACTGAGCAAGCTAACGGGTGGCGGCGTCTTGGACGCGACGGCGCCTGGCATAGGCGAGTCTGCGGGTTGCACGGACACGAGGGCGGAAGGTACGAGATGGGATGGAAGCTTGTTTGTGGCGAAGGTGAGGCCGAAGTATGGTCCGTGTCCACGGTCGTGATGAGACTGATACGGCATAGAGTCCGTTCCACGAGTGGCGGTAGCAGCAGGGAGGTTCGTATCCGAGAGCGATTGTTGTATATTGTGTGTCGGAGGGGAAAGTAAGGCCGTCGACGGCGAAGATCTCGCAGCCCAACTCTCCTTTAACTTCTCCAAGTCCTGTTTATTTGGCCTCGCGCCCATCGTGGTTTCCGTCTGCTCACGATGTTCTTGTCCATGGGCCGATCCAACCTCCGTACCGCGGGAAGGAGGGTCCGCTGAACCCCGCACTGAATGCTCAAGATCCTCCGAATCCTCACTCTCGTCCTCGCTTTCCCCAATCGCCTCCATATGACTCGTACTCCCCGTCGTACTCCCACTCCAACTCAACCCCGAGTCGACGCCCACGCCTGAACCGGATCCAGAAACCGATCCCGACCCAGATTCCGAACTCGTAAAACTCGACCCACTATCCGACCTCGGCCTGAATGCTCCAATCCCACCAGGACCAACGCTCAAGTAATCGCTAGGCATGCTCGCCTCATGGTGATGAGTAGGCTGTATGAACACGCCCTGCTCGTTCCGCTCCAAAGTCGTCGACATCTCGTGGGGATGAGGAAACGGCGTATGCACCTCTGGCTTGGGATTCAATCCTTCTGGATCATGGTGGCCATGCGCGTACGGGTGTACGAACGGCTCGTACCCGATCGGCTCGATATCAAGTTGGAAGTAATTCGTGAGCGTGTCCAAGTCGTCTTCAAGACCCGCCAGATGACGCGGAGACCTGTGGAGGCCTGTGGCTGATTCCTCCTTCGTCTTCTTCATCTTCTTTTCCTCGCGATTGTGGTAATGATGATGATGCGGGCGTGGGTGCTCGTTTACATTCTCGTCATGCTCGACGGCCGTGGTCGTAGGCAGATCTCCAAAATGAGCCTTGGGACCTGCCCTGCGCGCCCTCGGCTCCACATAAGCCGAAGAATGCAGAACCGACGAGATCGTCCTCGTCTCATCGGTACCAGGTATCGTCGTCCTCGGTGTCGCGGCCCCGGAGCGTATCTTTGGCGTCGCAGCCCCGGAGGAGGAAATCTTGGGTGTGGCCCCTCCAGAGCGTAAAGCCGACTTTGGCGTCGCACCTCCAGACGAAGATCGCAACGCGGAGGCTCTCCCACCTTTCAAAGGCCTAACTTCCGTCTCATCCGACTTACTCCTCTTCACCTCCGGCGGATTTCCCACTTCGACTTCTTCCTCCATCTCGTCATCTGCCAACGCCTCTTCCTCCCCGACCGTGACGTCCCTCTTCAAAACGACATCCTCCCCTTCCTCTAACGGCACGCCCAAGGCCCCCATCAGAACCACACAAATCTTCTCCGTCCTCTCCATCACGCATCTTCGGATCCTCCTCACCCACTCCCGATCGTCAGCCTGCGAGCGCGGGACCGTACACATCCACTCCAGCAAAGTCGGGAATGACCACGTCTGTGGGTGATCGAACCGTCTCCACGCTCTCAGTCTCTCCTCTTCCTCCTGCGCCTCCTTATCACCCGCTTGCTCCTCCTCTCCCAATCCTCCACCGAAAGTCGATCCACGATCCGACGCCCTCAATGGAGTGGGCGCCACGATCTCCTTCAATGGGGGATCACTCGTCAAAGCCTTCACCAATGTCGGGCTCGGCCTCGGCAAGGTCTCTCTCATTTCGCTCGCCGCGAACGCAGCGGACGTCGGCGAGAACTCTCTTTCGGGGTGATCGCGCGGTAGGCGGAGATGGTTCGGGAAGGCTTGTTCGAGGAGGGCGATTAGGCGGTCGGTCGGTTGGGAGGCGAGGAATTGGGTTACCTAGATAGAGTGGTGTCAGTATTCGATTATTCATGGCAGGAAGAGGATATCAATAAAGAGAAAAAGCTGAAAGTATTCAGGAAAGAAAAGAAAACGCACCTCCTTCGGACGATCAACAAACGGTAAAAACTCCCCCTCCCCCATCGGCAAGAAATTCGCCGGCTGAACCTCTAATTCCTCAACCTCCTCCTCTCCACTCTCACTCAAACTCGTCGTACTTCCCGACCTTCCTCCCCCATGTACGCCCAAAGTCTTCGGATCAGGCTTCAACGACGCCTTCGCAAGCTCAAGAACTTGCTGCGGCGTCAACGGCGCCTCCCTCCCATACCCAATCATCCCACCATACCCGATGCCATAGCCACCGCCATAAACGAACCCAGAGCCATACTTCTGCGCGATCCTGTACGGGTTCTGTGTGCTGATCGACGCCGAACGACGACGTGCACCATCTGTCGGGGATGGTGACGAATAAGCCTGCAATGAATTCTCAGACGCCACATCGTCGGAATAAGAGCGCGCCGAAGACGAAGATCTCGAGCGCGATAGTCCCTGCGGAAGGGGAACAGGGGCCTCTCCTGGATGTGACGCGAACGACGCACTCGCGAACGAAACCCTCCTCGATCGGTTCTGGGTCAACGACCGACTGTGTACGAGTCCTGGATCCGGTGGGCGATTAGAAAGAGGGATTGACGCTGCGGGATCGGGGTTGTGAGTGCCGTTGTGTGGAGGGATGACGCGGACGATGGAGAGACGGCTTGTCATTTCTCTCTCGCTATCGGGGGTGGAGGAGATATGAGTAGGATCGCGGTCTGTCAGGATGTTGAAGGGATCTCGAGCTGCGGCAGAGCCGCGACGATGAGTGAGTGTACGGCCTCGGGGAGGGGGGAGAGCCATGTTGGAAGGTAGCAGGTGATGAGGAGTCGTATCCGGGTGTTGAGCTCGAAGCGGAGAATGTAGCACTATTTACTGTCGACGGTTGGTGGTGGTGGTGAGGTAAACAATGAGCAATGGGCAAGCAGAGAAGGAGGATGTTAATGCTTCGAAACCGTGGACCTGCACGAAAGGGTTTATAGTGGTTCGCAGGTCGTCCGCCTGACTGCTCTACGTCAGCTATGACTACAGTGCTTGGACGTGGACTCGACCGGGCCTACAGTACCACCTTGGGCAGATCGAAAGAGAATGCTTGGTGTGACGTGGGGCCTGTGAAAGGGTTGATGGAGATGGTATGGAGAGCGTGAGCACGAGTTGAGACGGCCGGGAAAGGACGGGTATGCAAGTTCGAGAATAGGGGCAACGAGTGGACAGTCACGAGGTATGGGCAGTAGGCTGGTCTAGATTCGCCGTCGAGAAAACGAGTGCGGTATGTTCCTCTTCGAGCTCTTGATAAGGTAAGGTAGAAAGGATTGCGTTGTTACATAGACCACCACAGACAGAGACGGCCAAGTATAGGAAGCTGGCCTGAGACTCCATTGAGTCCAAATTCAGCTTGTGTTTCAGTGTTTTACATTCACACAGAAACTGTGTGGCACTGATTATTCCAAGGTTGTTCAACCCGGGGACCAATTCCCGAGAAAATAGAGGGCCAGAGCCATGCTGTCTTGATGCTGCCCATGCATGTGAGTATAAAATGGATGCGGGCTGACAGGCTGAGTGGTGCTGAGAGTGGACGTCGCTATGTTTCATGAGCCGCTGGGTCTTCTGTTCAGTTTCCTTCAATTGAAGTGCTGGAGTGGATAGAAAGTACGTCGTTTGAGACGAGGATGATCGGGAATACGAAGGAACACGCCGCTGCTTGTCGACGTTCGCGAAATACTTTATGTATTGTTTTTTTTGTCAGATTTGGTGGAAAAGCAGGTGAAATGACGCCACGTGCCGCTGTCAATGTGGCACTTTTAGGAGGTTCGAATCATGACAAAGCCGCTTCAACCACCTCGACGTTCTTCTCTACTTATCGATATCTCTCGCCAGGTAAGTATTCTCGTTCTCATCCTTCTCCTCATCTCTATACTCGTCTGTGTCCATTGCGCACCGTTGGAGAGAGGAAGCGCCTGCGGGCGGTGTGCAGCTCTCTTGTTGTGGAGTCGAGGGTGTGTGATGACGATGACGTCGATCGCAGGAGCAGTAATTAAAGAGCCTGCTTGCTTCCTCCTCCCAAAAATTCAACACTCGCTCCTCATCCGCTTACCGCCATGAATCCCTTCCGTTCGCATAGACAGCCTCCATCGACAGGCGAGAAACCGTCGATCCAAGTCTCACCGTCGCAAGCTTCTTCGAACCGCACCTCGGCGGTCCCTACAACCTCACCTCAGCCTCCACCATACACAGAGGAGGTCAAGTCCACCGCACAGCAGTATGATACTCACGACGCACACCCTTTCGTACCCCCGCTCCCGTACAGCCTCCATACCAACAACCGCATTCGGACAATATGCTTCACCTTTGCCCTCTGCTTCCTCGAAGCGGGCTTACTCCCCCTCATCCTTTTCTACGCACTCAAGTGGGGTGCTCATCTGAGCATTACCATAAATCTTGCCATCATCACTAGTGTCATTGGGACGTTCAGTGGCTACCGGTACGTTCTTCACTCTTTCCGACTGTCAATCATAGCTGACGCCACTACTACACAGGTTTTCCATACGGCTATGGTGGCTTTGGTTCAGCAAAGAAGGCCATGAAAGACGGGTGATTGGAAGTGGCCGATGGGGCGTGGACACGTTTCAGTACATATCTCACAATTTACAACTTTGGAAATCCATTGACCACCCCCAACAGAATCGCCGCCAGCATAGGCATGGCCGCCTTCTTCATTCCTCTCATCATCGGTTCATCCGTGTATGTCTCTATTCCTTCCTCCTTCCTCCTAACTTCTAAACCTACTCAACCTACTCCTCGCCACACAGCTCTCCCGCCTCCCCACACATCACCTCCCTAGCCCTGCCCCTCCTCGCCCTAGTATTCTGCATCCCCCTCCTCCTAACCTCCCTCCTCCCCCACAAAATCCGCGTTCCCTTCCGCATGTCCTCCCTTCCCCCAATGGCTCCCCTCCCTCCCTTCGCCTTCACCCTCATCGAAGACGTCGTCGCCGTCGACGGTGGCGGCGGCACCTCTTTCCGCCGCGCCTGGGCCGAACGCTACCAAGCCTCCTACCTTATGCGCAAACTCATCCGCGACGTCTCTTTCGGCTGGGGAATCACCGGAACCGTCTTTGGCGGTGTCTGGACAGGAATCGTTATCCCTGATTTCGTGGCGGATGATGTGGCGGTGGGGATCGGGTATGGGTTGCCTTGGGGGTGGGCTTTGGTCATGACGGCGTGGACTGTATGGTACTCGAAACGTATGATCGCTAGGGAATATCGGTGCGTTTCTCTTTTCCCTTACGGTTCTATCACCGCAATTCCCACCTGCACTCCACCTATCAACTCCATGTACTCCAAAACTCACATACTCATCATCCCATACGCAAATAGTGAATGGACTCCCGCCCCCTTCACCTCCCCCGACCCGACCCACAAACGCCCCACAGCCCACCGCGACATGTCCCTCCACGTCGTCGAACGCGTCATCGGTTCCGGACCTTCCGCCCGTCCCCCAATGGGTCTCCCTATGCACTCACACGACGAAGAACGGACCACATTACCCATGACGGGCGCGCATGCTCAGAACGTCATCGGCGCTGAGAAGGGAGTTCCGTTCAGTTCGCGTCAAGGTCAAGGCGGACCGATCAATTCGTCGAAATCGGTCCCTACGACGCATTCGCCGTCCTCTAACACAGGCAGCTCGGGGTCGGGATCGGGTGTGGGGATGGGGAGGATGAAGAGCGCGCCTGTGCAGGCTGAGTCGCCGGTACAGGGAGTGCCGATGCCGCCTGCTTCGCCTACTGGTCTTACGAGACCGACGGCCGCAATGCGCAAGACGAGTTCGCATAAGCGGATGGCGATCGGGAAGAACAAGAGTGATGGGCATGAGAGGCTCGACTCTGAGGATGAGGCTTGAGCGTACTGTTAATTATCTCGTCTCGTCTTGTCTTGGTCCCTGCTTTACTTCTTGTCGCTAGCTGCGTTGATCGGATTTTTCTTGTCTCTTTGTTTCGTGGATCTCATATACGCACATGCATACAATTCTCGCTGGCTCCATCGCATATACACGAAGTACTGTATCCCTTCCCTGTAAACCTCCTGCTGCTTGTTGCACTTTTCTGACGAGTAGCCCCCGGCTCGCTGTATTCCTTATGATATCCTACGACCCTGACCACGAATCTCGCTGTAGAAGTACCCTATTACCTATGTTTTTCTTTATCGCTCGAATGGATGTGGTGTGGTATGTATGTGATTATTTTATCGTGCAATGATTGCTGCGAGCCTGAGTAGGCCTGAGTGGCACAAGAACGAAGCACCGTGGGAATTGTGCACAATTCCAGAATGTGGCGCTCGTGACACAGACACCTGCGATAAGATAAGATAAGATGATCGTTCCAACGTTCCAAAACGTTCAACCATGATGTCTTTGTTCGTTCATCTTACCTCACTCCCTCTATGTATACCGTATTCACTCGCTCTCGCTCTCCTTCTGAAGAACTCACCCAGTTCGACTCTGATTTAGATCACTCGTGGTGCTTGCTGACTTGGGACAACAGCCCATCTTGCGTTATCCAGCAAACCGCGTTGATTGATCACACCGTCACGGAAGACCTCATCAGTTCTTACCTGCCCGTTCTCTCACATATCGCATATAAAAGGCTTACCTGATCGCCTAGCATCTCCGCCTCGCTCATGTCTGGGGTCAGCGGGGGCTCCCGTTAAACCTTAACACCCCTGACAACATATTTTACTGTAAGAGCATCCCTTGGAGTCTGCCACAATGCATGGTGTTGATCGCATTTCAGTACGTACAGACATTATTCAGACCTTCAATGATGGCTACTGGGCTTTTCTGCCCAATCTAGATTTACTTAAACATATTCACGAAACTGTGATGCTTGAGCATCGACGCCGGAGTCCGCGCTGGACGAACTGGACCGAGGTATGTCTTTTCTGCTCTCTAGAACAATAATTCCTGATGTCCATATACAGGACTTTGTCAAAGTAACACGAGAGTTCCAATTTATTTCGATACGTTACTTTGAGGAACCAGTCTCCATCTTACACCGTCAGCACCCCGTCTATTACGACTATGCTGAGTATCGCGCGCCGTATGACACTATGCCACCACTCCGCTGCCACGTACACCCTTATCTAGCGATATTTAATACAGTCACTAAGCTGAACAGCAACCCCCTCCTGGCCATTCCCGAACCCCTTCACGAACCCATCAGGCTCGCTCGCCAGATCTACGATTCTTGGATGACCGCTCGGGTCCCATCTCTTGCAGGTCTTGTCCGAACTGCCGAACTGACAAATTGCACACGAGCTGACGTTGATTCTTCCTCTCCCACCTCCTCCAACTCTTCAGCGCGGTATGTGCTACTCAGACCGCCACACCTTCAATCTCGCCCGCCTCCGACGTCCCATTCAGCACCGAACCGTCATAAATACTGCGATCCCAGGTTTTTCAGAGGGTTTTATCGCCGGCCCAAACGCGATCCCGGAGTCCCAGAAGAGTGCCTTGTTGGCGGATATGAAGGCAAAGAACAATATTTTGACGACCTCAGCCACGCGTCATCGTCCAATGAACCACTCGGACCTCCTGCGACTGGAATTCAACACTGGTGGCCCGATGCTAGTGTCACCTCTTCCGATATCGAACGCCACCCGGCCGGGATTTTTTTCACGCGCAATAACTACAAAGAAGAATTCATACGCAGGAAAGACATCGACATCAGCGAAGATTGCTCTTACTCTTATGAGTGTGAAGAAGACCAAATCTGCAGACACGATCCCGATGATACCACAGGTACAAATGACGTGCAGGGAAGAGGAGAAGTTCATGGAGGATATCGCGGCCGTCGATATCGAGCATCGGAGACAGCATATAAAGCCAATGCCTCGAATCGTGAAGAATGCCCTTGTTCTCAACAAGTACGCCGCGGAACCTTCCAAACAAATACCCCTCTCGTCGCATCAACTGTGGCGGCCGAATAGCCTGCATTTGTGGCCTACCCGAACCTTGAAGCAACGAGCATTCGCCGTCGCAAAGGTGAGAAGTGGACGGGAAAGAAGCACTTCTCCGAATTCCCGGCTCTCATCCACAAGTCGCCATTGAGCTACCGGACCCTCAGTCATTGAGGCCAGCATATCCTGCGGGAACTTTGAAGATACTGACATTCCACTCTCGCCCTGTGTCCATCCAACCCAACAGAATGCCCCTCAACGCATGCTCCTCTCTATTACTGTAGGTAATAAAGGTTATATCGAACTCGTCTGTGCGAGTGTACACAGACTACCAAGTATCCCACGGAGATAAACAGCATTTTTTTCTGACTCGTCCATATCACCATTCGCTGACTCACTCCATCCCATATACACGAAGTACTGTGGCCCTATCGCTCTACCGTAACCCTCGTGCTTGTTATACCTTCCTAACGAGTACTTTGTCTCTGATTCACTGTATTCGTTTTGATATAGTACTTATAACGACTGAGTACACTCCTGGCTGTCCTGTCGCTGTACGACTACCCTACCTATGCTTTTCTTTGTCATTTGAACGGATCTGGTAGATGTGGTATGGAATGACGTTTATCATTCTATGCTGTCGCAAATGGCTGTTGCGTGTGAAGTTGATCCAGTCCGATGGTTCAAACTGGGGGAGCGCTACCTTCGGCAGTATCCACCTTGCTTGGTAAATAACTTGCACAAGCACTTCTGGTCTGCTCTATACCACATGTTCTTGAACGGGATTGGAAGTGCTTACCAATCATTGTCAACATTCTGCGAACCAGTCAAGTTGACTGAAGATTCCTCCAAGGCAAAGCACAGGCCGATGAACCCAAATGTCAAGGCAGCGAACGGTATGGGCCCTCATTGCGTCCGACGGCAAGTTATCCGTCTAGCGCGATACTGATTCATGGTTATGGTCAATGTTATTTGAACACAACGCTCACAGCACATAGAAAGGTTACTGTACTTTTACGACCAACTGTTCGTCACGCGTCACGGCCAGGAAATTCTGAGGGTGCCGATGAGCTCCGATTAGAAATCGAGGTTCATCGGCCAACCCCAACCCTAGGAATTTTCTAATCGGGCGAACAGTTGGTCGAAAAACTACAGTAAGACAGATGTCGTCAGGAACCAGCAAGGCTTACATAAAATTATCCTGGCTCGCGATTGGCTGCAGAGGCTTCGAGAGGTTTCTGAGCCAATCACAAGCCAGAAACATTTTATGTAAGCCTTGCTGGTTCCTAACGACATCTGTCTTACCTGCTATATAGAGCATAGAACTTTCATTTGGAGGCCCCGTCATTTTGTGCTGGTACAACGAGTCGCAAAGCCATATATTTAAACTGCCGCCGTTAATTATCAACAACCCAGTTCAGAGCATCAACGCCTGCTAGTGTTTTGCACGGGTCTGGGTACACCCGCGGTTTTCAAGCACGGTGTGTGACGGGTGCGGGTACGGGTTTGAGGTTTTTCAACCCGTGAATTACCGTGAGACCCGCGGTACTTGCGACGGGTTTGAGTCTTGAAAATCAGAGGTGCTCGAAGGAGCACTTTGACGGCTTGCTGAGCCAAGGATGTATTTCAATCATCACCTCTCACATGTTTTTGCACTAACATGGTCCAGTTTAATCTTGGACTCTAATTCCAGGCTGTCAATGACTCGTTTGTGGAGATGTGCCATACCACGCCCTTTTGGTCCGAAAAAGAATGTACTCAACGCCACCGAGAACAACGGCTGTGTTTGTTAGGAATCGTCCCATTGAGTGACAGTTATCACTTTTTCGGGGTTTAACACCACCGTTCGGTGCTTAGAATGCCTTCGTGGCAGTCAACACGCTTCAACACCGTACGAAATAACCGCGGTTGAGCAACCGCGGTGGCAGGAGACAAACCCGTGCCACACCGCGGGTTACCCGTACCCGTACCCGTGCGGGTGCGGTGTTTGGCGGGTACGGGTACGGGTTCGTCTCTGGCACCCGCGGTTGGACCCGTGCAAAACCCTAACGCCTGCATTTGAATCGCTGCAGTCACATCCGAGGGTAGCGGTCAGACCCTCTGCGACGCCACACACAGGTGCCACATAACAAGTCCGCTGTTTGTCCATGTTTATTTCCGGGTCGATTCTGAGGAATTACGGGGGTAGGATGGACCTTCAAGCAAGGTAATTCACCAGGAGCTTCAAGTTGGGTGGCCCAAGAACGCAGCACTGTGGGAATTTTGCACAACTCGAGAATGTGGCGCTCGTGACGCAAGTTGATGAGCTTGCTTTCTCTCGCTACAACTCCCAAAACTAGGCCGTGGCGACTACACCCTCTTATGCGGACCGCCGCCATCACCACATTCGCTGTAAACTGCGTAAAAACAAAAACAAAATCGAACAAAAATATCGAAGAATAGCAAGTAGTAGGCAAACATGCCCCGTCTCCGAGTCCCTCCGTTGATGCACAGAAGCCATCAAATCCTGAGTCTGACTGACTCACGGTACCATGAATCAGTACGAGTCATGCTATAGCCACTCAGCGATTTCCGCTCAGCCAGTTCCAGTTCCTCTCAAAATGACCGGCGAAGTATATTTCCTCCTCCTGATGAAGTACATCTCATTCGCACGTCTGATACTACAGTAGTTGTCCTGTCACTCTGCAAATATGCTAATCCGAAACCCTCCTGCCATAAGAAACTGAAAGACAAGTAGTCCAGCTCAAACCACAGGTCCTTTAATACACATTACTATATAATATAACACGGGTATATACGAAACCGTAAATGTCCATGGAGAATAGAATCCCTGTCACTTTCCTCATACATTCTTCTCTTGTTCCAATATTGTCACGGCCTCAGGAAACCGCGGCGTCACCTTGATATCAAACGGCGTCGGAATTCTATAATCGGGACGAAAAAAAGGTTAGCGGAGTGAAAGATAAGAATGGAATGATGTATACGCACACGACGAGTCCCGACCTGATGCTACTGTCTGGATCCATTGGTACAGGCACGTTATCTGAGTCCCTCGGCCTCTCGATCTTCATCGCCCAAAGCATCGTTGCTACCTGGGTAAATAACAAATTCTGAACCGACAAGTAACACAGGAAGGAACATTCAGTATCAATCTCATCATCGGAAAAGGGTTTCGACTCACATTTGCGACATGCTTCCCCACACAAACTCTCCTTCCAAACCCATATGTGAAATGACTCTCCTGCCCCATGTCCAGTGGGCCACTTTCCTTCAACTCTCCCCTATCGTCCAGGTGCCTCTCCGGCTTGAAGTCCATCGCATCAGGCCCCCAAACGAGTGGGTCTTGATTAAGAAGCCAAAGATTAGGTATCATGAGCGAGTTGGCGGGGATGAAGTGGCCTTCGTAGAATTCGTCATGAGTAGATACGTGTGGAAAGCCCAGCGGGTTGACTGGTCGCCATCGAAGTGCCTAAAGTGATTCAGATCTGCATTAGAGGACGGCGGCAGAGCAAGACGGATAGATAATGCAGGAAGAGGAAAGGCTACGCACCTCCTTGACCATGGCCCTTATATACGGCAAACGCTCATAGTCGTCGAACGAGGGAACACGATCCCTTCCTACAACAGCGTCCAGCTCCTGCTGTGCGCTTGCTTGGGCCTCGGGATAAAGAAGCATGGCCTGCGTCCACCATGTGAGAACTCCCGCACTCGTTTCTGAGCCCGCAGCACTGTCCAGAAAAAAAGCACGCATGACCGATTACTAACTTGAATATCACAACAGAAGTGGGTAGCACGTACAACATCGTTGCAGACAACCATGCACTCTCGCGCGGAGAGAGATTGAATTTATCGTGATTGTCGCATATACGGCCCATTAAGCTTGCAGGCTCGTCACCCCTGGCCTTCGAAAGGGTCAATACAATGATAGAAGAGATCATGAAGACGGGAGTAAAAGATAGGGTATGAGTGCGAGATAGAGAGACTTACTACGCCAGCGTGTACAGGCTCCATCAGCCTTTCGAACATGGCAGAGTCCCTCTTGAACGACTCTACAGCCACATGTTTCCACTTCGCGAACCTGTGCGAGATTGGCCCCACCGGACATCGTCGAGTCAGCCATCTCACGAGCGCGTCATATTTTAACGAAGGCCACGTCAGAAAGACTCACCTCGCAGGTATACACTTCATCCATGGAAATAATTCTACGAGATGCAACTCGTCCAACAATGCACTCAACCTGGTCACGAAATCATGAATCCCTGCCACCCGGTGATCACCTGTGTCAGCCAACCCCGTATTAGGGACATTGCCCTTCACGTCGGAGTCCGAGTCTGAACCGTAGAGAAGATTCGCGGTAGAAGCACCGCTAGCCTGCCGGATATGTGGGTGCCATTGCGATGGTGAACGGATGATGCGCAGAGCAAGAAGGGTGGATTCCGCTTGCTGGGCGGGTTGATGGACGGAGACGGAGACGGAAGATCTACCGAGGGTTTGCTGTGTCGCACGGCGCATTCGTTTCCAGCTTTAAACAAAGAAAGGCCACAGTATCAGCTAACTATTAAGGTTACTTGAAGACGCGAAGAGGTAAAAGCTTACAGATCGCCGCAGGAGTTGAGCACCATGAACATCCCACCTGTCATGATCTCCGAGCCAACAATGTTGCGGGGTCGACTCGAATAGTTTCCCGCATGCCTGAAGAGGAGGTCTGATGCAGCTTTGGGGGAGTTGAGGACGATGACGGATTGTCCTGCGACATTGAGGTAGATGACATCGCCTGCAAACAGTTCAATACGGGCAGTCAGTGACGATCCCAAGTTATGAACACCTGTCAGTAACAAGAGACATACCATACACCTCACGCCACCTCGTGAACTTCAGCCAAAGCCTTGATTCACCTAGCTCGAGAGCGTTTCCAATGATAGGCCAGCCTTTTGGTCCAGGAGGTACTTTCCGCCACGGGCTACGACGATACCGCACAATGGAGTAGACAGAGGGGCTTATGACAAGTGCGAGAGGGAGAGTCGGGTTATTACGACAGAAATCAACCATAATTGTGAGATAGTTCATGGCGAACTAAGTGGAAGGGGGATAAGTGAGAGGTCTTGGATGTGAGTGGAACTACCGGTTTTTATGTCTGCTCTTGCATCCAATTGCGGCTGCTGTCGGCATTGCTAGGAGAGCGTTTGGTGAAGCTGTCCTTGACAATATGCAGGCCGTAGCTGTAAACATGACTCGTTTGTTTGCAAGGAGCACAGATGTCGGTCAAGACAGCCGTGGCACGGACCATAGCACCAGAGTCATCCTAACAAGGGATGCTCAGACAAGTGCTGCAGGAAGCTGACTCCATCGAATAACCACGGCTGTGTTAAATTTGATAAATATGTGGAGTAAAATTGGGAGGTAATTTCAGTGTGCCCTGGGCTCGACTGCATCCTAATCGCCGCCGCTGCGTGACAAGCGCTACAGCCTGAAGGGAGATCGGACGGAACAAAGCAGCGCCTAGATGATGAAGGTCGGGCGGATGCGAAATGCACTAGCGTCTCTGAGCACTGAAGCTATCAGCGCCTACAGGGACCTACTTAATTACGAAAACACTCGCGAAATGGAGACGTAAGGAGTACCGCTTGCGACGGGCACAGGAAGATACGAGACGGGAGGGCAAAGGATCCCATGAACCACGTTTTGGATGGACACACAGGATAATGACAGACAGTGACGGCTTCACCGACCCACTACAAGGGAGAACAGTCACAGGTCCTGGAGTTGGACACGTACACCAGCGCCACTGAATAGTGAGCTTCGCAGTCAACAATGATGCCCAATTACGGCTGTACTTGGAATACATGGAGTAGTTCACGGAGGGAGTAATTGCTCGGACCGATTCGGAAGCTGGCGATCAACGTCATCACGAGTCACAGGCTCGAACCCGTACTGGGTCGTCAGGACCATAGCCATGTCCGTGACTAGATGTATACCATGAACAGCCCCACGGCTGTGAGGGACTTACTTTTAAGTCTAATGCCATACTGTAAAACCCCACTAGAGGCCATACGTACGACCTTATTGGCATATATAACACCTACAGTGATCCTAGTAACAACAAAAGAGGTACCTGACCAAGGGAAACAGACAAAGTTTTCGGATCACTGTTCCAGATCGTCATGATCTCCGTTAAAAGCATGTGACAAAATGCTCCAGTGATCAAGTAGGTGAGATATGATATGGGGTCGAAAATCACTCAGTGTGCACCATCCACGAATTTATTATGGATGAAGGTTCCGAGTACCCCAACATCTCGAGGAGGCAATCCCGACAGCAAGAAGATGGGCAAATGAGAAGAGGTGAGGTCCATTGAATCTCTGAGACAGAAGATGCTGGGTTCTCGAGCTCTATTTCCTGGAGGACCTCCTATGATTTAAGTCCAGGAAATCCTCCTGTAAAGATGCATGACCTTCGTCCGCAATGATGGACAAGCCAAGATTACCCAGAGCTTGCGAAAAATACCACAAAACCTGAGGTTGTTAACAGGGCTCAGGCCACGGACCGTGTTAAATTGGCGGAGCCTGTTTCAAAGCATTCAGATACAGCAAACACCTCCGTATGATTGCGAAGGTCTGAAACCCTCGCGGCAACACTTGAATGCAAAATCAACACATACAAAGCATGATGGCCGTTGGCGGGAACTACTGTCAAGGTTTCCGAAAACGATTGATGACCTGGCGACAGGGTCTCCAGTTCGTTGTGCCCAGTTTGTTATGCAGTGTCCCAGAACGGATACTCCGGGGAGCACATAAACCTTACACTCTGAGGTAGGGTAAGTACTACGCGCAGTGATTGCGTTCATCGTGAAATGGGAGCTGCAGCATCGAAGAACACTCGTGTCAGTATACTGAGTTGTTGCGAAAAGATCCATGGTGTTTACTCAATTGCCATGGTGGCCGAGGCTGGAGAGCCTCGATCTGTTCCTCTTTTGATAAACCCATTCTCCCTCGCCAAAATTCTGGAAGGTCTGGTGGTGCATCCCAGTGCGTAGCTGCATAAGGCCGTGCTGCGACAGCGTCTAGGACAGAGGAAACGTGCTGTTTTCGGAGGCCCCCAAACCTATGACAAAAGACTTCCGGTCAGTCTCGCGAGCAAGGTGTTGCGCGAATACTAAGAACCGCACCAATCGCCATAGGGAAAGACAAGTAAGTTCGCCGCATGCTTATGCCCGCCGACATGTCCCACTTCTCCTATCGAATATCTTCCCCATACTCCCTCAGGATCATTGCTCTGTCTCCGCTTAAGCTCAGCGTTCAGCTCGTCTGCAACCTCGCCACCCCATTCTCCACATCGACAGTCCCGTTCTCCATGGGTACAGACGTACAGCTGTACGCCACTATCTTCACAGTCCACTACCTCCTCTCTATCTGAGTACGGTTCAGAAGAGACGTACTTTGCGATCAAATTCGCAGCATCCTCCGTATTACTCGCCGTCACTGAGTCTATACGAAGTCTTCTCCGTCGACGCGCACCAAACACTGTTGCGCTGTACTTCTCCTCCCGACCGATATCTTTTGAGTGCACGGGGTCTCCCAATGTCCTCGTCGATGTCTCTCCTCCGGTAGATGGATGATTATAAGCAAAATTCACGAAAATCTTGGATCCCGGGTTGGCTCTGAGGTAGTGTTGTTGTATCCCGAGCTGAACCGCAGAAGTAAAGTGGTGGGGGAAAGTCCGAGGAGAACGGCTTGTATGAAGAAGGACATAAGCGTCGTGTGGAGATACTGTTGCAGCTAGTGAGGCGTATCCTCTCTTTTTCGTTTGTGTGGAAAGTCTATGAGACACTCTGTAAAGGGAGATCATGGAGGTGGTTGAGGTCGAGCTTGATGGGCGCCGGTGGGGTCGTTCGTCGTCGTTCGCCACACTGTAAGTGGCACCAGGCGGCAACTTCCGCGATCTTCCTGAAGTTGAACGACACCGACCAGCACTTGACCAGCACCGACCACAACGACTCGAACTCTGCATAGAAAGTCCTTATCACCCACCCGCTGAATGGTGCATGCCTCTACCTTGTAGTGCCCTCATATATCTTGCCTTTTGGCAGCAATAGGGCTGTAGTATAAGTGCTAGGTATAGTACTGTCGTCGTCAGTATCACTGTTACTCCGAGTCCCGAGTCGTCGACAAACACTCGCGGCACTCCGACTGTCAACATTCTCAGCCCCGAGCACTCGTTGTTCCTTTTATCAGCATGAGCGTTGAGATGGAACTGTTCTCTACGCAAGGATACTGCTTCGGTGGCGCACGCTTTGAATCCTTGATAGTTTTCGATCACCCGATAGCATGATGGGCGGTCAAGACAAGGTACCATTTTCCCCCTTAAGAACTTCTGTACACCATGCTGACACGGTCTTCATCTGTCTTTAGTGTCTTCTTGGACTTCGGCCAAGCAGATCAAAATGATGCAACGATTCTGTCTGGAGACCAGAGGCCGCAGGTATATTTTTGCTCAAGGGCGCTCATCTTGAGGGTCGGGAATCATCACCGTGCTGTTGAGTCTGACGGTCAATCGCAATATCAGGACTAAATTTTCACAACAGCTGTTCAGTCGTACATACGCTAACTATCCTTCGATGGAACTCTTTCAACAACCATGTCTAGCTCAGACTATCTTCCCCTTATATCCTAGTCACCTGCATCAAGGGCTCTGGGGATGCTCAAGACTCCATCAAATATCAGGAGTGCCACACACCTCCTTTTTGCTGTACCATAGCTAGTGCCAGTGCTGTCGCTGACGCTGTGGATATGTCGCCCATCTAATGGATATCGGCGGCATAGCTCACATCGCCACCAACATCTCACTCTCCGACGACTGTAAACCGAACAACATCATCCCTGAAGTCCTTACCTTAGCTACGTATCCCTTGCCATCATCAAAGCCGCCTCCCGCTACCCCTCCGCCGAACGCGTCATCAACTCCTCATCAGCACCGGCCTCACACCTCAGACAAAGGCCTTGCCCGCGCTTAGCATCGGCAAACGGTGTTCGAGAACGTAGCAAACTTGCTTAGACACCACCCATATAATGGGGGGAAGCAATGATGGTATATACGGCGAGAAATGTGGAGGAAAAGGAGTGTTCCAACGTTTCTGGAGGAGAAATCGGGTTCAAGTCTGGCGCTGTGTTACTTTCTTCGAGTTTGGAAGCGTGTCGCATTCAAATCAACAAGCCGCATATCTTCAACTGTCTGAGGATGAGGTAGGGAGCTTGAATTCTCTCATTCGGCTAGGCTATCATCTCATAAGCCCTTGATGCTCGCCCGATCTCGTTACTCGCTACTGAAATTTAATATCTATCTGTTACAGTCGATGTTCCCAACGTGCCTTCAAATCGGTCGCTGAATCCCGCGGTCAAGTCTGAGCATCTCTTCGCATACACCTTACCTTCACCCAAGAAACCCTCATGTGAGCATCCCGTAAGCCCTATACTGACCGCACGATCCCTGAAGAAGGCAAGGACCTGAACTTACAGAGCAGGGATCGCGGGGAACAATGGTTGAAGACGCAGGGGAAAGAGCACTTCCGCCTCGATAGACTTAGGTACGTTAAACCTCAGAGGACGGGGCTGAAATTTGGAGTTCGAAGTCCACTCAACACAGTAATGCGATTAGATTCCGCATTTCTTTGCTTCTATTTAGAATAGTTGTGATGGCCTAGGCATTTATGTTCTACAACGACAACAACAAAGATTACATGTTACAATGCTTTTTCCTCTCTGCTTTACCTTTCCTTCCATCCTTTGTCTACGAATGTCAAAAAGAATCCACATGACACCCCCGTTTAGGCCTTCTTCGCATTGATGATATCTACGAACTCGGGCTTCAACGAAGCCCCACCGACGAGGAAGCCGTCGATGTCGGGTTGATTCGCTGAACAAATAAAGCGAATAAGTCAGTGTGTGAGTTCAATAACACCACACAATGAGAAAGAGAACGTACAAAGCTCCTTGGAGTTAGAAGCGGTCACACTACCACCATAGATGATGCGTACGCTCTCCGCGACCTCCTTAGACACAGCCGTCGCGAGGAAGGCACGGGTGAGCGCATGAGTCTCTTGGGCCTGCGCAGGGGTCGCAACCTTGCCAGTACCGATGGCCCAAACAGGCTCGTAGGCGATGACGATTTTGCTACAATCCCGACAACGTAGCTTTAGATAAGTCGCAACCATGGGTGGAACAGACGTACCTCCAGTCCTCGGGCTTGCTGATGTCGATGAAGGCCTTCAACTGCTCCTCGACCACGGCCTGTGTCTTTCCGCTTTCACGCTCCTGAAGAGTCTCGCCAACGCAAAGAATGACGCTGAGACCGGTGTCGATCGCCGCACGGGTCTTCTGGGCGACAAGGGCCGAGTCTTCATGGAAGAGGCTACGGCGCTCGGAGTGGCCTACACGCCGTCACCATCACGAAATAGTTGAGAATGAACCATATCGATATTCAAGAGGAGATTTCGGGGGATATATGAGGTATTATTGCGTCCCGTTAGTAGATGATTTGAGATAGGGGTAAACAAAGGACGCACCAAGCACAACATAGGGAACACCCGCATCCTTCAACTGCGCAGGGCTGAGCTCTCCAGTGAAGGCGCCGTTAGGCTTGAAGTAGCAGTTCTGGGCAGCGACTTTCACTTCCTTCCTCACTTGCTCGAGGACAGGGATAAGATAGAGTGATGGCGGCGCGATGACGACCTCTTTTCATGTTTGTACACCAGAATAAACCAGAGTGATATGTGCGATTGATACAGATAGATGTAACGATTGTGAGCTACATTCAGCATATCATTCAAGCTCGCAACGCACCAGTGTTGGGGTCCAAGGTAGCCTCGTTAAGAACCTTGATCAACGCCTTCTTCGCCTCGCGCGAAGTCGGGTTCATCTTGAAGTTTCCGCCGACGAAGAATTGACGAGTCATTTTGTCTTGATTTGATGTTTTGAGTGGAAAAAGGTAGTGGAAATCGGGTGGGTTGGTAGATGAGAGAAGCAAAGAGGACGATGGAAGATGGGTGCAACGGAATGAATTTCGTCGGAGAGTGGCGCAGGCGCTTATGACGAAAATCCTCCGAGACCTCGGCCCATCGATTCATGTTCTCGCCACACCGAGATTAAGTACTTAGGTCTGAAGTGATGTGGCCCAGTCCCGTCTTATTTGCCGATAACGCCCGTCCATGCTTTTCCAAGACAATGTCCAGGTTGCCGTGTACATACCTTTTCAGAGACGAATAAATAGAACTGATTTACGACAAAACGAATAGACACCGTGTACCAGAGAAAGTTTCATTGAGAGAAAGGACGTTCAGTCGCCGTACACCAAGCCGTCAAAAAAAAACAAAAGAAACAGGCATTCGGAAAGAAAGAGATCCATATGATAGTACACCAATACTTAGTCTAGTCACGGATCGAGAGGGGGGCATATTTGGACAACGACGGGCAAGAATGCTGGTACTGAGTACACTGGGAATACACATACTAATCGGACTCGGACAAGTTGGGGACCCGGGGACGAAAGATCAGAGATATTGTATAGTAATGTCCCTGAGAAGTAAAGAACGCATAGGGAAATAGGACGTGAGGTACTTATGATGATGCTTTAGCGTGGAACGTAGGCTGAGCATGGGGAAGAGTCCGAGCTAGCTGCGATGCCTGATAGTAAGACCTTGGTAAGTAAGAGGCTGGTGAGTACATTTGAATAATTGAACTATAGTTGCTCACAAGTTGAGAGTATACAGGTCATCAAAGTTTTCAGACAGATGAAACACTTCCGCTGACTTTTCGAGATTATCCCTATCGCTTTATACGGTTGTTAGATTAGTTTGAAATATTCAAGAAAGTTGAGCGCGTCGAAATTCAAGTACCACGACATACCTGGAAGCCTTCCAAAATTTGCCGCAGTGGTAGAAGGACCCCCTCGTAGAATTTAGACCGCAGTACGGCATTCGTATCGGTTTTCTTGACGGGGTCTGTGTGGATCTCCAGACAGGCCAAGACTGCCCGAGAATATTTGACACCCATCTTATCTTCCAGATGACGAGCGTGATGAAGAAGCTCCGCATGTCGTTTTTCATATGTGATGTGTTTCCCGTGCGGTGTCAGCAAGTTGTCGAGGGTCTTCTGGGTACCCAACTCGACGAGAACCGCTCCGACGCAGTATATATCCTGACGGATGTCATACGCGGTCATGACCGGTGGCATTAGTTCAGCCTGACGATGAGGGCGCCCATCTTCAACTTTGTCGACGCCAGCGACGAATCCGATGAGGCAGGTACTGGGACCAACCTCTGCCCTTTTGGAAGCCTTACCGCTCCGGATATCGACGATGACGTTCTTGCTTCGAATATCTTTGTGGGCCCAGCCAGCAGCATGAATCTCCGTGACTGCCTTGGCGATCTGTGCCGCCATTTGGTAGCGATCCTCCAGGGAGATGAAGAAGCGTTGGTGAGTTTCTTTCTCGTGTAACGCCTGGAATAGTGTCGGTGGATCGGAATAATGAGACTGTATACAGCCGCGGGGGAGCTCGTAGACAAGCGCGAGAAAACGTTTCTGAGGTGGCATTGGATGTCCCTTCAGGGTGTGATGCGTCAGGACAGCGATGCCTTTGCATGTCAGCAAATTTAGCTCCGGCAGGTGGGAGCCACCGAAGACATATGCCAGTTTCTCTAAACCTGCTTTTTGTCTTGCCCCCCAGTGTCCCAAGGCCAACTCCTGCTGCTCGACGTAGTATTTTGGCTTGTCCTTTGGGAGCAGCTGACGAGGGATTTTCTCGACCAATTTCGCATCGAGGCCAAGAGTCGAGAGCAGTAATGGGAGTGTTGGCGGAGTGCCCGACTGGACGCGTCCACGGAGGGCCACCGCTGCAGTTAAGGATTGATCGTGAACTTTGCGCAGCCTCTCGTAGACCTCGCTTCCCGACACTACCTTCCCGAGCATATTCCAAGCAGAGATGATACTCTGGACGTGTCGGCACCACCGCAAAATCTGACTATTGAGATGCACCATCTCGTCCTTCCTCCAGCTCACCCAAGCGTGCTGAAGAGCCCAGTTCCCCTCTGGTTTTTGGTTTTTTGATGAAAGTCGGCCGTCCATTTTGCGAAGTAGTTCCTCCAACCTCTTCAAGCTAAACTCCAGCGCTGCTCCACCAGAGTCCTTGGAACGTAGCGGCACGCCGTCGGATGAGCGAAGGTATGCGTCGATCACGTCGAGCCGGACTTTGACAAGATCGATTCGAGTCTTCGTCTCATTTATAAGGCTAGCCATATCGTCATTCTTGCGAAAGTTCAAGCCTCGACAAGTTTCCAGAATCTTCTCCGCTAGAGTTATCACGATCGGCATGACGCCGACTCTTCCGATGTGATCAGCCATGAACTGGCGGGTCCTGTATTAGGCAGAAGTGTAGGTCCTTAGGTACACACCAGCCTAGTTCAGAATAGCGAAACATACTATATCAACGTTATAAGAAGACACTTACTGTGGGTACAGGCACTTGACGATATCTACAAGGCGAGGTAGGCCACGAAAATGCTAGGAGGTTTTACCCGGGAGACACTGGAGAAGACTCTTCCGAAGCTCAGAATGTGGATACTTGTAAGGGCCAAAATACGGCTCACCAGCAATAACGGAGAGCACTATTAATCTTGCACACTCGACGGAGAGTGGGCCTGACGTTGTGTAGAGCTTGATTTGAAGTGTATACGACGCATAGACCACTGATTAGCACGCCGGACCTGCTGGCTGATATGAATAAACAGGCTCTCACCCTGCACGTAGGTGATGGCGAAAAGGCTACTGCCAGCACCAACGGAGGTGATGTTGAAATCTATATCACTGGTCAAAAACATTATTCAATCTGCATGGGCGGGTAGTCGTGATCATGTAAGAATGGCTCTCACCGTTGAAGTAGGCAATGACTATTGGCAGGGCAGTCAATACGGCGAGATTCAGTGTGAGGCAGTGGGCAGCCGATGGGGAGGAACGAAAGTACAGGATGGCGGGATCGCTCTTGAATCCTAGGACAATAGCGGCTGGCTGGAATACTTGAGGTCTGATTTTTCAACTCATAAGTTTAAATAGCCAAGTGTGGTCCATGACCTGTGACCATCAGCGTCAGATTTGATAGCTTCCAAGTTGCCGCTGTCTAAAAGGATAAAATGTGAGGCTCCCAACACAGAAATGAAGGACCTTTTAAGGAGACGATGAGTCAACCCAAGTAGAGCCAGCATCATAATGCTGAGCGCTGGGTCCTGAGCGGTAGAGAACCGCGAATAAAGACGCCCTCCCCGTAGCGGGGACGGAAGAGCATACAGACCAAATGTTTTCCTCTGCAGCTTGGTGAAGAGATCACTGTTGCATCTGAAAGTAAACCATAATGATCAGATGATAGAAAGGGTCATTCCGACATTCTCCGAGGGGCGAATCCTCCTTTAAAATTCTCCCTCTCACCTCTAATCAAAGTCACGAAAAATGCGCTCGTACGGCCCACTTGGCGCACACACATGTGGAAAGTACGCACTGGGAGGCTGGAACGACAATAACTGGCCTGTGACCAAAGCACTCTTTCTCCGCTTCGACAGATAAGTAAGTTGCCGCCATGCATGGCGATATCAGGCTTGCACATGAACAACTGAACATGCAAGGATTACGGAGTTGAACCGTGACTACAGAGCCCAATCCAGCACATAACTGCGAACGAGAATCTGTAGCGCCGCCAACAGGTGACGGTCTTTCTCCGTAGAAATCGTTGTAGTGGTTCGACGCGGCGTTCACAGTTCCCGCGTCCTAGTCAATCCTTCTTCACGCCATCCAAATGGATTAAAAACATCGGCAGCAGCTATCCACCTGCCGCCCGCCGGGCATTTAAACTCCATCGACGTGCACCGGTGCACCTATAGCTCACTCTCAGTGCAAGTCCACCAAGGAAGCGCAAATGGTACGCGTAAGGCCACCCATAAGACTTGCCACTCCCCAGGCTCAGGCTGCGGTTCGCACAACAACGCACGTACATCACGAAAAAGCAACTCGGCGCCCAGGCACCTCGTGGAGGTTGAGCGGACCGGGACTCAAGCTTCCACAAACCACAACTACTCAACGCACTAGTCACCCACAGGCAGACCTTGGAAGTGAAGATAGGCGTTCAACGTGTCACAGCGCACAGGATAACTCGGGAGTTGCAAATCATAGCGCGCCCAGAGATCGTTCAGCGCGAGCACGTCGCCATGAAGCAGGCCTCGGGACGGTCTACCTGAAATCGCAGAAGACCAGCGGTAAGAAAAGCCAGACCGACCAACGTCGTGGGGAATTCGAAAAATCAGCCAGACACAAGGATCTGGTATGCCAAAAGTAGAGTGCACCGAAATGTACCTCGAGGGCGCCAGCCATCAACATAGCGCGCCTTAGGATGCCAGGCGTTGTCTAGCAACATTATCCAGATTCACCAATCGGGAAACAAGAGAAACGACAATTCCCACAGACTATGTTATCGCACATCGCCATTAAGCAATGTGTTACCCACGGCACGCACGGCATGGTACGTCAGCCTCAAGCATGACTGACCAGATGCAAGGAGGAAAAGCCCGATTGGCAAGGCTGGTCTGACGCCAATGCGCCACCATTGAACAGGCCGTGATAATATATAACATGAGCATGAGCACGGGAGAACGAGCAGAGACATTACGGGCCACAACTCACCGATCATCCCTACATCTCGTCTCGTCCATTCTTCATATCCACGGTCAACTTCACGTCCACGTCCACGTCCACGTCCACGTCATGTCCACGAGCACAAGACCAAAAGTGATAAATCCAGAAACTGCAATTGCGATTTGATACCGAAGTCTGAACACTGCAGAGTACGAACAGAAACACTCGATGGCAATGGTGAACTGAAAGAGGAAAAAAAGGAAAATCGACAATAGAGATGGTGAGGTACTGAGAACTAAGAGCAGATTGATTGACGAAAATACTATGGCGAGAGAGTAGTGACACGCGAGGGCGAGACAGGATGTATGTATGACGGTAGGAGGGTAGGATGCTACGCGGCGGGTGAGACAGTGACATGACGATGGGACAGCGGGATAGTGGTGATAAGGTGGTGTACGGCGTGATCGGTCGCGGGTGGAGCGAACTGGGTGGACAGCATGGGAGGGCGGAGAGGTACAACGACTCAATGAGGCTGGTGTTGAGCGAGAGTTCGGAGGGAACCCTGAGAATTCCACATATACGGTTTATACCAGCTCGAATGAAGATGAGGGCAGGCAAACGGTGAGAATAGGGACAGAGGGATGGAGTACGTAGGTGTGGTCATGAACGTCCGAAGGGGTAGACAACCCTTCTCCAGTGATGGGTGCGCGAGAGCCAATATTAGGTGCAGAATGAAGAGCGGAGATAACGACCATGGCCACATCAGCGGTAAACCGCGGTGAGACTGCGAGAAGGGTTGAGTATATGGGAGCGAGGGAGGCAATGACAAAGCGAGGGGATCAGTTTGTCTGTCATGGTAATGGTGGTGGCGGTAGGTGTCCGAGCTGGTAATATACATATGATGGGTGGCGAAGCGTGATGCAACCAGAAACGGTCTATGGCTGGGTCGCATACCAGTTCGCTACAGTTGCTGTATCTGCACGATGAGGAACTGCTTCTCGTCCTATACGAAACCGAAAACAGTAAGGCGTCAGTGGACTGAATCGACCACAGGATGCAGAAACTTACGGTGAACTGCTCATCGTCCTTATCATTATGGAAGCCCTTCAAGAACACAAGCAGCTTCTCCTTGTTCCTCCTCAATATCGCCTCAATCTGCGGCGGCTTCTTCGGGTTCGCGACGAAGACCTGTAACGAAGAAAAAATGTCAGCGTACGCGGACTTCTAGACCGCAGATAGAGAAAAAAAAAGACCCACCTTAAACACGTGAAACGCCTCAAACTGTATATTCTTGCTCTTGTCCCTCAACAAATTCATCATCATCTTTAAATTCCCCTCATTCGCGATGTACCTCGTCATTACGCTGAAGTTCGCCCGGTCGAGAAGGATCTCGCCCAGGAGCTTGAGGGACTGTCGCTTGGTGACGTAGTTCGTGGAGAGGATGAGGGTGGTGAAGGATGCGAAGAACTAAAGGTACGAGGACGTTGATATCACAAAATGGACATCGTGGATGAAACGAGTGAGAACGATAACATGGCGACGAAGTTAGTAGAGGAAACAGGCGTAGTGAAGCAAACCCAACTCCAGCCCATAGAAAAAGCTGGACAAATAGAGTAATAATAAAGAACACCCCTACTCACCCTATCATAATTCTTGTCCAAATACTCCGCCACCATCGGCTTATGCCTCGTCAACGTGTCCTTCAGGGACGAATACGCGTCACACGAGATCCCGAATGTCGTCGTCTCGATATAGTGTGGATATTTGTAGAACCTGCGGTCATTGTGCGAAGGACACACGAAGGAGGGATAGAAAAGATGATATAGTTAGTTGTGTCCACATCATCTCAAGCGAAAAAAAGGAGAGAAAACGGTAATAAAAAATAACGGAGACCAGAGTAACGCCCCTGGGCAACAAACACATTGTCTCAAATAAGCCATAGAATAGAAGCTCGAAGCACAGAAGCCCATCCTGAGAACTCAGGACAGTCATCCGTCGGTGGATAAATCACATCCGTAGCCACAAGAGGATGTCTATAACCGCAACAGAATAGATGCACTGATATTGGTGCTGATACCATAATTGCTGTGGCAGGGAAGCAGCAAAGTTATAGTCATTGATCATGGGTGTAGGTCCACATGGGTCCACGCTTACGACCCGGATCGGGATGGCGGTATGTGTGTCTCACAGCAGCGGAGATAAGGCACTGCTGACTGCATGGAAAGTCGTTGAGAAGAGGCCCCGGAGGGTTCGACACGGATGGAGGTGACTCTTTTCTCATGACGGAGAGCACAGGTGGTAGTGAATGAATGACCCCACATTCGAGAGTGGAGTGAGTAGCCTTCGTGGCGGCGTGGCCGGAGCGGTACGCAAGGCCGTCTGATCCTGATCGACAGCTATCGCATGATTGTCTGTATGCTCGAGGTAGAGTGTGGCGTAGCGTTGCCTCACGCCACCCACCCCAAAGCTCAATGTGACGACCAATCAACCCTCTCGGTCGACGAGAATTGAAGGACGAAAACGAACACGAGAAAGAAAGCTGATAAGGAAATGGTAGAAGAGGAACTCACTGCTCCGAGTAAAGCAAAATCTTGCACAAACTCTCATGCCTCAACATCTCCCGCAGCATCATGCCCGTATTCAAGCCGACCTCCTCGTTCTCGTACCCCGCCATCGCAGCGAAAAGCACCTCTTTCTTGCTGCTGATGTATTCCACCGTCGGCCATCTCGACCCGATCTGTCTTCTGAGGAGGTTGTTGAAGATCTGGACGGCGTCCTTGCGTGCCTCGAAGTCGAAGCGGGCGATGTGAGCGACGAGGAGGTAGAGGAGGTCTGTCGAGTAGGTTTCTTGTGCGAGTTGGGCGAGCAGTTCGGGGACGGGGTCTACTGGTAAAGGGATACGTCATCGGCATTTAAAGATCGGGGATTGGGGGTGAGGTCGGGAAGAGAGCAGGAAGAGCGGGCGCTTGGTGAACGCGGAGATAGGGGAGGATAGGGGGCGTTGATACGTACCGCCATCGCCGTAGAGCATGCCCTTTATCGCCTGCAGATGCTTACTGATCTCCTCGCTCGCCTACGCCGCGCAAACTATCATGAGCAAAAAGCATGATAATGGAGAGAAGAATCGGACCTTCTTCCTCGCCTCGCCCGGAGGGGCGGACTCTAGCTTGAGGATGTTGTCCCTGAGAGCCCTGATGAGATCAGGCGGTGTCCTCTGCTTCGTCTTGAAGAAATTCATTGTCCTTCTGTCCTAGGCTTGTCGTGTGGGTAGGGATGGGGGTGGCGTCGAGATAGAATGGAAGAGAAGAAGCCGGGTCGTATAAGGTCGTATATACGAGGCTGGGAAAGGATGCAAGTTCCTGTGGTCGTCAAGGACGTCGTCGAGTCAAGAGCGTGCAGACGGGAGCGATGTCGATGAGGTCAACGGGTAGCACCGCAAGAGTGTAAGTCGCTCGCGGACAAGGAGACAACTCAAATGACAACTGTCGCTCTCAGCTCCGTCAGGACACACCCGGTGCAACGGCCCGGTCCCGGATTCGAACCTCCTTCCCAATCCGGCGTGGCCGCGTCCCTGCCGCCTTTCCTCCGTGCGCTCTCCTTCCGTGCCGCTCTCCCACATATCGTTCTCCTAGCGATCCCTCTTTCGTTGTCCTCTGCTTTTGTCGCGCCTACTCGTCCGGCCGGTCACCGCCTCGCGACATAGCCTGCCACTAGCTTGTATCTCATCCTCCTACTAGTGCTGACTCTGACGAGGTCTAACTTTCTTCGGTCAAAGTGACTCTCAAGCAAGGCACACCGTTCCTCTCGATGTCCTTGCACTTCCGAAGGAGCTCAGTAGCCTTGAATTTGAACTCGATGCATATGTCAGCGCCACACCAACTCTCAGTGCCCAGCTTGATGAGCCCTCACTGGGACACCCACCGCTTCCTTCGTCCATCCTTCATGTCACTCACGCGAACGGTACTATGATTCATACAGACCTCACATGAGTCGCCTAGCGCCCCCTTTGGATCTGCATTTCCATCTCAGTCACAACGCTTTGCAGTGATACACTCCGGCATGCCTTATCTCCGCTGCCCATCAACCATGTCTGTACCAAGTACTGCCTTTTATCCGAGGATGGTCTGAATCGATTCCCAGTCACCATGACCCATATACTCCCATATAGGAGCCTCTCCAGTATCCTGTGACTGCAATTCCCTTTACCTTGGTTCTTCGAAATCCCACAGTCGCTCAACGAAGTCCCTCCTGCACCTGATCTGACGCTTTCTGATTCACGAAAGCTTGAGATCTTGAGACCCCTCCTTATGACGTCGTCACTCACAGTCCGAACTTCCCATCATGGAGAACAAAGCCACTGCTGATGACCTCACATGCACTGCTCCTTGGCGTTGCCTAACTCGGACTCTTCGCCGAGTTGATGCTTCCTCATTTGGTTTCTGTCATATTACCCTTTCGGTCACGTCCGAGCATTCTACGTACGAATACGGAATCGGACACCACGATCGTGTCTGTATAGCACAACGCTCAGGCCACAAAGTCACAAAGCTGAAAGTAATGGACTCTTGCGCCGATAGTTTTGATAGTTGATGTGAACCTTAGTCAATCAGGTAAATCAGTGAGGATAAATTAGCACGGATATAATTGGTCGTGTCTCCTTGCTTGACTCTCATCAAATACTGGGACATTCAATAATCAGGTCGTGTGCCTGTCGTTGTACTCAACTCACTTTCTTGCATCTATAGAATCCTGTCTAGTAGCCCCTTCGTTGCGGTCGAGCTCGACGACCCACCTTTTTCCGTTCTCTGGCCTGTCCATCTCCATCCATTCTGAGGACAACTGGCGCAGAACCGAAAGTGACTTACAAAGAGACGTCTTGCCCGTGAAACACAACGTGTAGAAGGCTAGAGAAGCCATGTTTATGCGTATACCATAGTGCATCGGCAAGAGTAATTCGGCTTGAATGTGGGTCTTATTCTTATTCGAGCGCCTCTTTCCTTCTATATAATGACTTCAATGCCTTTCATCCCCTCAGCACATAATAGTGCTTCCCTCGATCTCTATTTTTCTCGAAGAAAAACCACCCATTTCTTCACAACATAACCCTACACCATCTTTCAAATGTCCACCCTCCCAGTTGCCCCCGACCCACCCACACCACTCGGTCGCTATCGTCTTCTCTCGCCAACAGCCAGCATCCGTGTCTCGCCAATCGCACTAGGCGGGATGTCTATCGGTGACAAATGGGGCAGCTCGACGAAGGAAGGGTCTTTCAAAGTGATGGATGCATATTACGAGGAGGGAGGGAATTTTATTGATACGGCGAATGGATAGTGAGTTTCGGAGTGGCGGTCTGGTTGTTTTATGATTTCATGTTCGTTCTCATGATATTCGTGGTGGGGCACAGCCAGGACGGAAGCTCCGAGGAGCTCATTGGGGAGTGGATGGAGCTATGCGGGAATAGGGATCAAATGGTCGTCGCTACGAAAGTAAGTCATAGCGCCCTCCCTTTTCCATCCCACCTACCCAGCGCTCAAATGAGACATATCCTATCAACTAAACATGTTTATTGTTTATAAACACGACAGTACTCCTCCCCGTGGAAACGCCACGACCCCTCCGTGGTCCAAAAGGTCCACTACACAGGCAACGGCACGAAATCCATGCACGTCTCTGTTGATGCGTCTCTCCGCAAGTTGAGGACTAGTTATATCGATATTTTATACGTGCATTGGTATGACTGGGATACGAGCGTGCAGGAGTTGATGGGGAGCTTGCATAATTTGGTCGTTGCCGGGAAGGTTCTTCACTTGGTGAGTGTCGTGTAATTTTTTCCTGATCAGTCAAGAACCTGAGTTCGGCTAATATCGTGTTATATTTATCTTGCCATGCGTTAGGGTATATCTGTGAGTTTTTGCCACACACTTCTCTTCTGCTACTCTGTCGGACAAATAATCAATCCATGGTAATCGTTATCATTGCATTGCACAAAGGACTCGCCAGCGTGGTTCGTTACCAAAGCGAACCAGTACGCAACCGATCACGGAAAAACACCTTTCTGCATCTATCAAGGTCAATGGAATCTCGCGCTGCGCTCATTCGAGCGCGATATCATCCCCATGGCGCGTGCTGAAGGTACGTAGGCGATCACCGCCTGCTCATGTGCTGCACATTTCTTCCCTCAATTCTTATGCGCAAATCCACTATCTATCATGTCAGGACTGGCACTAGCCCCCTGGGACGTCCTAGCTCGAGGCAAATTCCGCACAGAAGCAGAAGCCCAAATCCAGATCGCCGCGGGAGACAAAGGCCGTGTTGCTTTCGGGTCCGAGAAACTCGAAGCCTCGGAGGACGAAAAAAAGGTCAGCGCTGCGCTGGAGAAAGTCGCAGCTGATGTCGGAGCGGGTAGTATTCAAGCTGGTACGCCTCTTCCCTTCCGCTCGCATACAGCATTCCTCTTCCGACCAGGTCTCCTTCCAAATCGCGATGGCTGACTCTGTTTGAATCATTAACGATGATCGTGCACTAGTTGCCATCGCTTACCACCTCCAAAAGACACCCTACGTCTTCCCGATCATCGGAGTCAGCAAAATCGAGAAAATGCACAAAAACATCGAAGCGCTGCAGATCCGACTTTCCGAAGAGCAGATGACTTTCTTGGAGAGCGCACTCCCTTTCGACGTCGGGTTTCCTAACTGGCTCATTGTGAGTATCTTTTCTCGTGACACAAAGCTTCAGATGATTAAAATCGGAGATTGACTGGCTGATGTATCACACATTTATCACACATCGACGAACGTTTAGGGCGATGGGACGAAGGAGCATGATATCATGAAAATATCGACGCGGCTTGATGTGTGGCCCAAGCCTGAGCCGATTAAGCCTGCTTGAGTCAGACAGACCAACGCGAAGCAGAAACATACACAGCGCAGGATCCTGTTTTTTGAACTCTGAGAAATAAATCCAGGTTGGATTCCGCCGTCGTTATAGAATGCAATCCTTCGGCATTTGTTCTACCGAGCTCTGAACGCGCAGAGCGCAAAGGACTTTGCTTTGATTCGCTTCTGCCTGTGCAGAAAATAGGATCCGGTGCTGTGATATCGATGATCTGGAATTTACGCTGTGTGCGTTTGAAAATATAAGAAGTTGATTTTCCTTCTCAGTGACAAGTTGAAGTTGTTCGTCGGCGAGTCTAAGATGCTCATCCGACTTGTCGGCTTCTTAGCAGGTAGTCGAAGGCGATAAGATTAGATCTGATGCTCAAAGATGCGGCCAGGTGATTTCCCGATATCTTCCGCGGTTCGCCCACGATGAAAGTCTTCCTGTCCTTGTTGCCTTACAGCACTCCTATCGCGTTCTTTCTACTCCAACCTTGGGAGGCTTTACTTTTTTCTGAAGCTTGCTTGCGCTAACGATGAGACTTTCTTTCCGTGCACCTGTTCGAACACTACGAGGTGATCTCTGCCGTGATCTGTTCCGAGTCGACAACCTTCAATGGCACGGTCTCTTCACTCGACCTACACGCACCCATCCATACCGCTGTTAGAGACCATTTACAGCTTTGACAACATGTTATTATAGCATCCCCATTGTGTCGGCCCGCCTTCGGCCCTCAACACTGCGCTGACAGTTCTATGTAGGTCAAGGTTTTACACGACGATCCACCCTTCTTCCGTTCATTGTGCTGCACATCTCATATCAGCTCGTGTTCTGTGGTCAGACGCACGCAGGATTCTAGGTACTATCACCTCGGTGAATCCAGAAACCACTGTTGGCGTGAATTCCACCGTCTTGTTGCCGTTCCTCGAGACCCTCACCACCAGTAGCCCAGCCTGCCGAATGCCTCGACTTGACAGTCCTGAGTGAACACCCAGCCGGCTTGGATGTGGGTCAATCAGAGCGTTCATTCTCTATATAACAGGGAGATGTGATGACTTCTTCTCTTCACCTAGCCCACAACAGTATTCTCTATCGACTACATCATATATCCGTCTCCCGCTTCCCCCACAAAGCGTTCAATCCAAACAATCTCAACCAACAGTCAACAATGTCGACCGCCATTATCCCTGGCCCCGCCTCCGATGGTCCTACCCCGCTTGGCCGCTATCGCCTTCTCTCTCCCCTCGCCAGTATCCGCGTATCGCCCCTCGCGCTCGGTGGGATGTCTATTGGCGACAAATGGGGAAACTCGACAAAGGAGGCGAGTTTCAAAGTTATGGATGCCTACTATGAGGCTGGAGGGAACTTTATCGATACGTCTAATGCATAGTAGGTCTTTATCTTGTTTTTGATGTCCATTATGATATTGACGCTGAGGTCGTGGCCATTGTCGTCGTGTGTAGCCAGGATGAGAGCTCGGAAGAGTTGATTGGGGAGTGGATGGAGCAACGTGCGAACCGCGACCAAATGGTCATCGCTACCAAGGCAAGTTGCAACACCTCACCTTCCTTCTTTCAGTGACCGACGTGGTCCTTTTACTTATTCAATGTGACTGGTTAACTAACGATCTTGTATTCACGTCACAGTATACTTCCCCTTGGAAAAGATACGACTCTTCCATCGCTCAGAAGGTCCACTACACCGGAAATGGCACGAAATCCCTGCACATCTCCGTCGAGGCCTCACTCCGGAAGCTGAGGACAGACTATATCGACATCCTGTATGTGCATTGGTATGACTGGGACACAGGCGTGCAGGAGTTGATGGGGAGTCTGCATCATTTGGTCGCTGCTGGGAAGGTCCTTCATTTGGTCAGTGGGACACCTGTGTTCTTCTCTCCAGGTACTACCGTGATACTCATTTGCTTTTCCCACGTTTCGAACGTACCATAGGGTATATCCGTACGTACACCCTTCGTCGCACATCCACTACCATCATATGCCCCTCTTGCTATCGATTAACCAATTTGGGTCGAACATTATAGGACTCGCCAGCGTGGTTCGTTGCCAAAGCGAACCAGTACGCGGCCGACCACGGCAAAACCCCCTTCTGCATCTACGAAGGTCAATGGAACCTCATGTCTCGTTCGTTCGAGCGTGATATCATCCCTATGGCTCGTGCTGAAGGTAACCCTTAATTGACCATTTCCTCCTACTCGCTGTCCTTTCGAACTCTCGACTTACCGATGCTCGTGATAGGACTCGCCCTCGCACCCTTCGACGTCCTCGCTGGAGGAAAATTGCGCACAGAAGCAGAGGCTCAAGCTCGGATCGCTGCGGGAGATAATGGCCGAGTCGCCTTCCCCAATGAGAAACTCGAGGCTTCGGAGGAAGCGAAAAAGGTCAGCGCTGCGCTGGAGAAGGTCGCGGCTGAGGTTAGTGCAAAGAGTGTACAGGCCGGTATGTCCCCACCACCTTCACCTACATACCTTTGTTGCTTATATTAGTGCTGATAAACGCATCGTAAACGACGAAACCACACCAGTGGCCATCGCCTACCATCTGCAGAAAACTCCTTACGTCTTCCCAGTCATCGGAATTCGCAGGATCGAGAACCTATACAAGAACATCGAAGCGCTTCAGATCAGTCTGTCTGCTGAGCAGATCGCATTCCTGGAGAGCGCGCTCCCATTCGATGTCGGGTTCCCGAATTGGATGATTGTGAGTCATTTCGCTGTCGCAGTCTTCCGACTAGACTCTGTATAAAAAACATTGTTAATGTGGACCGCGTTGGTGGCTGGAAAACTGTAGGGCGATGGGACGAAGGAGCATAAACTCATCCAGATAGCGACGCCGATTCAAGCGTGGCCGAAGGCTGAGCCGATCAGGCCTCTCTGAGGGAGCGATATCATACAAGTCAGGAAGTCCGGCAGAGAGTTACCTTTTTCGTGTTGCCATAGATTACAACCACGTATTCCACAAAGCCGAGTATTGTTGTTTACATCGCCGAGATTCCGTATTTATTTCCACCGTTGACTCCGAGCCATTAAGCGAGGTTTAGAGGGTCAACACACTTTCAAAGTCGCGAAGGATCATGAGACATAAAGAGGTTCTAAGATTTGTGACGAAGAGCGGTCAAAGTCTGTTGCCAAGATGGTGCTCTAGCCTATCTTGTACCGTTGTCAATCGAGGGCCGTATTACTTAGTACTATCTATCGTCGGAGTCCACTGGCAGTGAATGTTGAGCGAATGTTGAGCGAATGACATCGCCTGAGACTTCGTGACTCACTTCGAGGCCCCAACAAAGAGATGGGGCAGTCGGAGTAAGTACTAGACATCCAGTTTAATTAGTGGTGAGACTTTTTGAGCTGTTGAAACAATGCATCGGTAGAGGAAGGAGAGGAAGGAAAGGAACACACCCGTGACAACGCGTTCAGAATTCTTCAGAATGTGATGTGTGACACAACGCGTTGACGTGTGACAGATCGTGACAGACGCGTCTGTCACTCCTCCGCGCTCGACCACGCCCAGGTCGCGTCGACTTTCAGTCTACGCTCGCACCCGCACTTCCGACCCTCTCGTTTTCTTTTCTCTCTGGGCTTTTCCTTGTAATACCTTCCCATATACATTCTGTCAAATACTGCCATCTCTTAGCTGGATATGGCTCGAGGGCTCAACACTCGGGGAAGAGGAGGCTCTTTTCGTGGATTTCGTGGCGGAAACAGCTCCTTTCGCGGTGGCCGGGGACGCGGAAGAGGACGAGGGGGTTCCAACTCGACAACGGCCGACGTGAAGTTATCGAGAGATGATGAAGGGACACAACTTGCCGAACGTTTTGAACAGGTTCGGATAAATGACGAAATTGATGAGAAGTTGGGGTTCGCTCGAATCGAGCAAGGCCCACGGCGAGAGGGATGGTTAATCAATATGCATCCCGTATGAGTGTTTCTGCTATATCATTTTGAAAAGTAAAACTAACCTCGCAGGACATAAGACACTCATGAAAGATCCTGACTGGCCCGGCGGCAAAGCGGCTGTCGATTACTACTTCATTCAGGATGACGGAGGCATGTTCAAGTGTACGTATTTCTATGAGCCTTACTTCTACATTGCGTGCACGGTGAGCCCTTATACGGTTTCTGAAAGTATCTCCCCTAAATCTGACACACGCATTAGAATGGAATGGAAACTATCATCGAGGAATGGCTCATTAAGAAGTACGAGGGCGTCATCTGTCGCATCGTTCGCGAGCGGAAAGAAGATCTTAAACAACCCAATCATCTCCTCGGACACCGTCGCCTGTATCTCCAACTTTGTTTCCGTAACGTATCCGACCTTCTCGCCGTCCGACGTGATATTGTTCCTCTGGCTCTTGCCAATAGCGCCAAACGCAGCGCAGTCGACGCGTACGCCGAGGTCGTCAATGCAACCGCGGACGGAGGCATGTCTCTTGATGGTGATGAAAGCTGGGGCGGGGAAGCGAGCACCAGTAGTCGCCCAATCGGTCACGACCGTGACCCTCGAGAGGGCATTATCGACGTCCGCGAGTACGACGTTCCGTACTACCTACGAACGGCCATGGACAACGAGCTTCGGGTCGGAATGTGGTATGGCGTTACGTTCAACGCTGGTCAGCCAGAGTTTGTACAGATTACCGAGAGGGTGAAACGTCCTGACCCGGTGGTCATGGCGTACGATATCGAAACGACAAAGGCGCCCCTCAAATTCCCAGACCAGGCCATCGACCAGGTCATGATGATCTCGTACATGGTAGATGGGCAAGGGTACCTCATTACCAATCGAGAGATTGTTAGCGAAGATATTGACGACTTTGAGTACACGCCCAAGGAGGGTTACGAAGGACCTTTCATCATCTTCAACGAAGCTGACGAGGTGAGTAATATAATTTGTCTTTATGGACTCACATCTTTAACCTCTTCATGTAGGCCGCTACGATCAGAAGGTTCTTCCAGCATATCCAAGAAGTCAAGCCGACCGTCATGGCCACATTTAACGGCGACTTCTTCGATTTTCCCTTCTTATGTGCTCGCGCCCAAACCCACGACATCGACATGTTCCTTGAAATCGGATTCGCCAAGGATTCCGAAGACGAGTTCAAGAGTCGGACATGCGTTCATATGGACTGTTTCCGCTGGGTGAAACGTGATTCGTACCTCCCGCAGGGAAGTCAAGGTCTCAAAGCCGTAACTGTCGCGAAACTTGGGTATAATCCTATCGAACTCGACCCCGAACTCATGACACCGTAGGCAGTTTCGTTGGCCTGACCTTTCCAAGCACTCACTAAGTCTGTAGATATGCCATGGAACAACCACAAGTACTCGCACAATACTCCGTTTCCGATGCAGTAGCAACGTACTATCTCTATATGAAATACGTCCACCCGTTCATCTTTTCGCTGTGCAACGTTATTCCCCTATGTCCCGACGAGGTTTTGCGGAAGGGTACGGGTACACTGTGCGAGACATTGCTGATGGTCAGTTTATTGTTATATTATTTGAACACCTAGCTGATTCGAAGTATAGGTGGAAGCGTTTCGTGGGCATATTATCATGCCTAATCGACATGAAGAAGAGCATGGAAACATGTATCAAGGGCATCTCCTTGCGTCCGAGACTTACGTCGGTGGACATGTCGAGGCTCTTGAAGCGGGTGTCTTCCGTAGTGACATCGAAACGGACTTCAAGATTGTCCCAAGCGCTGCCCAGAAGGTATGACTGTCTTCGGTCGAAATCTAACGAACCTTGCTGACCAGAATGTGTGGCCAGCTCATAGACGAGCTCGATGCTGCTCTCACGTTTTGTATCACGGATGAATCCAAGTGTTCCATGGACGACGTCACGAACTATGACGAAGTCAAGCAGCAGATACAAACCGCCCTCGAATTTATGCGCGACAACACCTCTCTTCAGGCAAAACCCCTCATTTACCATCTCGACGTCGCCGCCATGTACCCCAACATCATGTTGTCAAATCGTCTCCAGCCGGACTCCGTCGTTGACGAAGCTGCATGCGCGGTCTGCGACTACAACCGTCCCGGCAAAACCTGTGATCGTCGATTGACATGGGCTTGGAGAGGGGAATTCTTCCCCGCTCGCAGAGACGAGTTTAACATGATCAAACATGCACTCAACCAGGAGACTTTTCCTCCGAAACGTGTAGGACTTCCACCCCGACGATTCCCTGACCTCTCGCCCTCTGAACAGACCGCGCTTCTTCATAAACGGCTTGGCGACTACTCCCGAAAAGTCTACAAGAAGATCAAAGACACCAAGGTCGAGAATCGCGAGACCATCATTTGCCAACGCGAAAACCCCTTCTATGTCGACACTGTGCGCCGATTCCGTGACCGTCGTTACGAGTACAAGGGCCTTCACAAGACGTGGAAGAAGAACCTCGATAACATTCTGGGCGAAGGGCGCTCGCTGGCCGAAGTCGACGAGGCTAAGAAACTCATCGTTGTCTACGACTCCCTTCAGCTCGCGCACAAGTGTATCCTGAACTCTTTCTATGGCTACGTCATGCGAAAAGGTGCACGATGGCATTCGATGGAGATGGCTGGCGTGACTTGTTTGACGGGTGCCACAATCATTCAGATGGCGAGGCAGCTGGTCGAACAGGTCGGTCGACCTCTGGAGCTGGATACCGATGGAATTTGGTGTATGCTTCCTGGATGTTTCCCGGAAAACTTCAAGTTCAAGTTGACGAACGGCAAATCCATCGGTTTCTCTTACCCTTGCACCATGCTCAACCACCTCGTCCACGACCAATTCACGAATCATCAATACCACGATCTCGATCTCGAATCCGGCGAGTACAAGGTCCACAGCGAGAACTCGATCTTCTTCGAGCTGGACGGACCATACAGGGCGATGATCCTTCCCTCGTCAAAGGAGGAGGACAAACTGCTCAAGAAGCGGTACGCAGTCTTCAACGATGATGGCACGTTGGCGGAGCTGAAGGGCTTCGAGGTCAAGCGTCGTGGCGAATTGCAGCTCATCAAGATATTCCAGTCTCAGATATTCGAGAAGTTCCTCCTCGGTACCACCACGCAGCAGTGTTATGCCGCAGTCGCGGAGGTTGCAGACCAGTGGCTGGACGTCCTCTTCAGCAAGGCGGCGGATCTTACGGACGAAGAACTCGTCGAACTCATTGCCGAGAACAGGAGTATGTCGAAGACGCTTGCTGAATACGGTGGCCAGAAATCGACCTCAATCAGCACAGCGAAGCGCTTGGCGGAGTTTTTGGGAGACCAGATGGTCAAGGACAAGGGTCTCGCTTGCAAGTTCATCATCTCTGCCCGCCCTCTCGGCATGCCTGTCACCGACCGTGCCGTACCGGTGGCCATTTTCTCTGCCGAAGAAAGCGTAAAACGGATGTACCTTCGGAAATGGCTCAAGGATAACGGGCTCACCAACTTCGACTTGCGCTCCATCCTCGACTGGGACTACTATATCGAACGTCTAGGCTCCGTCATCCAGAAGCTGATCACCATTCCCGCCGCTATGCAGAAGGTCCCCAACCCCGTTCCTCGTGTACGACATCCCGACTGGCTCCATCGTCGTGTTGCCGCTCTCGGAGATACGTTCCGACAGCATAAGATGACCGATTTCTTTAAGAAGCCCGGTGAGATAGCGGACCAGCCTACTCAGACCCAAACCCAGGACATCGAGGACATTGGGGATAGTGGCGATCGATCGAGTCGACCCAGAATCGCTGTAGTCAATCGCAAGCTCAAACGCAAAGTCGTAGAAGACGCAGATACACCGAAGCGCCTGCCACCTCCCCCCGATCCCTCGAAGAGTTATTCATCTTGGATCAGGGCCATGCGACCTCGGTGGAAACAGCGGCGCGCGGCGCGCACGGCAGACCCTGCCGCTGCGAATATGCCTGCTATGTTCCGTGGTGTCGCTCAGATGAAGACATCCTCCCGATGGGACGTCGTACAGTTGCGCCCAACGAGCACCCCTGGACGTTTCAACCTCTGGCTACAGGTCAATACCGAGCTAGTCGCCCTTCCCGTTCGCATTCCACGGGAGTTCTACGTCCATATGAGGAGCGCTCCTCCCGAAGACCTATTCCAGCCCGAGCTGTACTCTTGCGATAAGGTGGTGAAGAACTTGCCTCGTAATACACCTTGCCTCAACCTATACAAGGTCTCAGTCCGGGAGGATACGTACGTCGAGGAGCAGGAGCACTTCGTCGATCTGACGAATAATCCCAACGTTGATGGTGTCTTTGAGCTACAGGTAATATTCGTCATTTGTCTCTTCCCAACATCTATACTGAATTATCATTTTATCTAGGTCCCTCTGGTCGTGCGTGGACTTTTGAAGCTCGGCAAGACTTGTCAGACCAAAGACAACGTCATGACGCTCAACCGTGCACAAACCACTGGACTTGATCTCGAACAGCTGGAACGAGCCAACCACGGCACGAGGTCTAAATATCTTAACGAAGGTCGTGCCGGGAAGTATATCTTCCTCTTCCACGCTTGTTCACTAAACGCCCCTGTCCACGTCTTCGCCATCTTCATGCCCACTGGTGCCGTCCGTCTTCACATCGTCGATCCTGCCACCCGCCGGCAACCTATAACTCGTCTTCGCGAACAATACGAGGAGCTCCTAGAGAAGTATCAGAAAGCCAATGGCGTGAACATCTCCGTCGATTATCTTCCATCGAGAGAGTTTGCTTCGACATATCACAGCAGTGACCTCACCGCCCTTCAGGCCGTATCCCGAGAGCTTCGACTGTACGAATCCCAGTCATACACCGTCATCATCTCCTCCATGAAAGAGCAATCGTACTTCGACGAACATTGCCCGAAGCTGTCGCGATTTCCGGTGCTCTCCATGTCCAAGTCGAAAGGACCCCACAGCTTGGATGTCTTCCCCTGGCAGTCCAATGTCGCACACAAGATGCTCAGTCGATATATCTCTCTCGGTTCGTGGATGGATCGAATGGTCGCCCTCGCAGAATACTATGACGTCCCGGTGGGCCACATCGACGGCGACCAGCCCCTCTTCCTTTCAGATCTCGAGTTCGCACGTCGACTCATCAGCCAGGATTGCGTCTTGTGGTGGTCCCCAAGTGGTTCGCCCGACCTCGGCGGTATGGAAGGCGACCAAAGGTACACGGAGGAACTTCCGCATACGGAATTCAAGTCGCCAGGGTGCTACTCGAATGTCAGTCTGGAGATCACCGTTCGCAATCTTGCCGTGAACTCGGTCCTACACTCTGTCGTAGTGAACGAACTCGAGGGTAGTGGAGGAACGACGGCATTCGACTCTGTATCTCACACTATCGATGAGTTCAAGGACGGGGAAGCCCAGCGCGATCTTACCCTTGGTGAAGCCAACATCTCACCTCAGACTTTCGGCATCATGAAGTCTATCGTTAAGGGTTGGTTGCTAGATAAGATTCGACATGGTGTTGAGAGCCCTGCCTCGCTCACTATCGACCACTTCTGGCGATGGGTCACTTCGAAATCCTCACATCTGTACGACCCCAGCATCCATCGCTTCATCTACGGCCTCATGCGCAAGACTTTCATCCAGCTGCTCGCCGAATTCAAACGCTTGGGCTCTCACGTCGTCTACGCAGACTTCAGTCGCATTCTCCTCGTCACCTCCAAACCTCCCGGAACGGCTCATGCATACGCCACCTACCTTACCACTGCGGTTAGCTCGAACGAACTATTCCAGCACATTTTCCTGCAGACCGAACGGTTCTACGACTTTTTACTCTTCATGGATCAAGCCAATCTTGGAGGTGTCGTCTGCGAGGACCCACTCGCTGTGGTGCCTTCGAGGGACGTCTCCATCAACATGCAATGGAACATCCAGAAGTACTTGCCGCCAGCCATCCAACGGGACTTTGCCGACTTTGTCAGGTACTTCCTCGTCGAGTTGTACAAGGCACGGCAGAAGTCCAACGAGTCGTCCCGCGGTCCTCTCCGAGTTTTGGAGAACGGCGCACCAGACGCAACGCAGAAGGATACCAGTCGGTCGAAGGAGGTGGACAGCGTCAAGGAATTCATAGCGCGAAAGCTCACGCGAAAACTGTTCAAGTACATCGACAGCGTACAAACACGACACCGAGCCGCATCCGCCGACGAAGAACTTTCAGTTGATTTCGAGTTCCCCCTCCTTCCAGGCTCATATCTTCGCCTCGTCGATCCAACCCTAGAGTTCATCAAGTTCGCATGCGCGGTCTTAGAACTCGCCAAAGACTTCCAGAGCGAGATCGGCTTGCTGAAGCGAAACGCCCTCGAACTGATAGGCGTCAAGAGCTTCAACGAGCGAGCCGTCTTCCGCAACCCCTGCGAGCCTCTCAAACTCTCCAACGTTCCCTGTCGACACTGCGATGCGCTTCGCGACTTCGACTTCTGTCGTGACATGGATCTATTACCAAACAACCTCGAGGTCTCACCAAAGTGGCTCTGCGCTGTCTGCGGCGGAGAATACGACCGGACGGCCATTGAGTTGGAGTTGATGGAGATGGTCCATGCGCTGGAACAGACGTTCGCGCAGCAGGACTTGAAGTGTGGGAAGTGCAAGCAGGTCAGGTCGGATAACGTTTCGAGGATCTGTTCGTGTTCGGGGACGTATCAGCCGACTTTGAGTAAGGCGGATGTGAGAAGGAAGTTGAGGACAATAGTGAATGTGGCTATTGTACATAATTTGGGGCGGTTGAAGGTGAGTTTTGGTGTCTCCTGGTGATTTTGTGCATCATTAACGGGTTTGTTCCTTTGTTTGTAGGAAACGGCACATATCGCTTTGACTGGTTAGGCTTGTTACGCTCTGTGGTGTCGTGTGGCCTCGTAATTCATTCTCGCCTTGTTCTCCGGCATTGTACTCATACTCCAAAATCCTCGCACTTTTTTCTCTCTCTCGCTATCCTGTTGTCGATACTCGTCCATAGGGCCTTTTGTAATTTGACGAACGATTACTGCCACGCTGCACTGTCCGTCTCGAGATCTCACCAGCGAAAAACTCAGTCCTTGACGACGTTTAGGCCTTCGGCTTAAGCGCCACCATCGTCCCAGTCAACTCCCAATGAAGAGGAACGCACTCACAGCTAAACCATGAAGATACTACTTACTCCTACTAGGGATCGAGATCCCAAGCTCATCCATTGGACTTCTAAAGACTACAACTACATCCCATAGTCTACAAGAAAATCATTCGTTACATCGCACTCATCCCCCAATTTTCTATCATGCTTGTTCATGCTATTGACCGAACTTCCTCGTTTTCGAACACTTCTAGACCCAATCACAATCCAGCAGCAGTCCTCATCGCGAGGTAATTCGGACTTCCCATTCCGACCACGGGGTCCCATCCACTATTTGGTCAAAAAAAAAACCCCTCAGCAACCGTTCGTAACAAAGCAAGACAAAACAAAAAAACAGGGGGAGACCTACGTAGTCGCGAAGAACCCGTCCGTACCGCAGCCAGGGTTGTTTCCTATACAAAAAAAATACGCCACAGAACGCATCAGCACTCGTCGCTTGTAAGTAACGGAGGAATCGCACCAGTCGTGATATCATTGAAGGCCTCGGGATGCGCATATATCCACGGGTTCAAGAAGCCCAGGACAGGCTGACCAGCGGCGAGGAGGTCGTCGTTGATCAGCGCTACGACGCTGGAAAAGATCGGGGACGCGCAAGCTTTTTTTTATACGTTCGCACCCAGCGAGAAAGAAGGACACGGCATTTAGTCAGTGCGAAGTTGGATTAGATTGAGGAATAAGGAGCAATAGACTCACACGTCCCAGCAACAAGCCCAGTCCTCCCCGCATCGACAATCTCAACGCGTTCACCCTGCGCCGCGACGTCAGGGTACGCCCGACCCGAGACGTTGAATTTGCCCGCGTTCGTGTCGCCGAGGAAGTCGAGGTATCCTTCGACCGCGGAGTCCTCTACATCCACCACCACAAGTTCACATCAGCAAACCCGATGCTACGAGCAAAGGGGAGTAATGGGTGGAAAGGGACTTACGCCACGAAGGCCTGGCGAAATAGTTCGAGAATCCACCGGCAGAGAGCGCGGCTCCTTTCTCTGGGTTCACGTTCTCTGTGGCACCGACGAGGGTGGCACTGCGCGGTTGAAAACCTAATGAACATCGAATCTCAAGCCGTGAATTGGAAAAATGCATGCTTACTATGGGCACTGTTCGCAAACCCAGAATCAGTCTTAGAACCATTTGAAGGGTAGATCCGGGAAAGGAGTGGGGCAATACTCACAGTAGGGAACGTAGGCGGGAACGAGGTGCTGCATTGTACACCCGGCGTCGACGCCACGCCTCCGTCGCCGCTCGCGAAGAGGATAGAAACACCACGCGCGGTGAGTTGCATGTAGGAGTTGCACATCGCTCTGTAAGTGTAAGAATACGCAAAGAGGTCAGCATACGAACCCCGCGCGGAAGACGCTAAGTGTTAAAAAAGAAACATACACAGTCAAGCTCTCGCTCAAACTCGCCTCTGTATCGAACCCGTAGCTAGTCGTGAACACCAACGGCGGATTGTCCATCGCCAACAACGCGTTGATGATATCGAGGAACCCTTCGTCCGCTCCATCTTGAGTCTTTTCGCCGACGTCGACGAAGTTGACGGGGATGCCTGTGGCGAGGCCGACGGTGTATTCTGTGACAGGACGATAAAAATAAATCATTCAGAATCAAAGGTGAATGTGAGCCGGGAAAAGTACTTACGGATATCGAGGTCCTGTAAGATCAAGGGATTGTCATGAGCGCCACTCTTAAGGACTCGGTGAGGATCTCGAGAAATGATACGTACAGCTTCAACACCCGCATCCCTCAACGTCTGGTCGTTCGTCGCACTGTCGACAGAAGTGAACGTAAACGCAGTCGACGAGTTCATATCCGGCCTGAAGGTCGTCAAGAATTGCTTCAGGTCCGCCTATATCCACCACTCAGTCAGCTCACAGCTCTTAAGAAATCGGATTGACATACCAAGTTCGCATTCTGCTCATCGAACGCTGCAACGCCCAACGTACTTTGTGTTCCCGCGCTAGCAGGCGTCGTCGGAATATTATAGAGCGCCTGGAGACAAGCAGGAGTGATCGTGGAGTTGCAGCTAGCAGGGACCGTGGCCTGTGTGGCGTCCGAGGATGGCGAAGTCACAGTGTCCGAGTCGGGTGAGGGAGCGGAGACGGGTTTGAATGCTGAGATGGGCATGTGTCGGACTTGACCGTTGAAACTATTCAAGAGATAATCAGCATCAACACAATCCACGACTGAGGAGAAGAAGGGAGGAGGACAACTTACGAAGTCGTAGGATGCACGACCTTCACATGTCCCTGCACCTCCTCCGGCAACGAATATTCCAACGTCAGTACCTGGGTCTCACCCGTCCCCACCCTCGTGAACGTAGAGTACTGTGTGTTCAGCATTTTGTTCGCCGTAGAGACCGGGATGTCGAATGCGAGCCAATCACCGGCGGGTGTGGCGACGTTAGGCGTGATGTCGAATGTGGCGAGCCAGGACGTGACAGCATCGACAGATTCTTGGGTCGGTTTCACAAAGGATTCAACCTGTCATGTCAGAGATATAAATAGAAACGCATGAGATCGATTGCATCTCGAATGCAGACAGTTCTCGGAAGTACACAAACCTGATCCTTGGACAACCACTCCCTAAACGTCGGACTCGTCGGGTTACTGGCCGCCTCGAGAGCAGACTCCAGACCAGCCTGATCGCCCATGACGAGATTGATACGCATATTCAAGACATGGTCCCCAGACGCCACACCAGACTGCACGAATTCGGCGGGAACGAAGTCTCTTTTCTCGTGAAGATTCCATCGTGGAGACGCGACAGAACGTGCGGAGGCCGACGCAGCGAAGAGGGAGAGCAGAGCGGACGAGAACAACATGACGAAGGTATGGACAGCGTAAAGTCGTCCCCAGAGACCTTCGAATGCGAGTGCTCGAGGGAGGGAAGCACACGCGCAAAACGCGCGTCTTATAAGGAAGAACCTCGACGCGGAAGCAGAGGTCTTGGCACCGTGGCGACGGCAAGAAGGAAGACAGGATATTAGAGTGATGCCATATGGTTTGGAGGATCAGCAGCACACTTCGTTCATAGCCCCGCCCTGCCATTTCCCAAGATTCAAAGTGGCGAGTTCTGATAGCGCGTACGCGTCCACGCGACAGGGCGGTCGAGGATTCCCCGGATGAGAATAAATGGAAGGAATGGGCTGTACTGGGCCGGATGGATCATAGGAGCATACATCCTCTGTATGCGTTCAGGGGGCAGTATTCCTATTTTAGCTATCGTGAGTGAGGGATTGCTCGGAGGAAGGAAGGCGAGTTTAGCAGCTGCAGTGGGCGATAACGCGTCGGCATCATGCTGCACACCGAATAGCAAGCTTCCATACCCACGACTTCTCTGTGCTTTCCATTTGGGCGGGACACTCGGCAACAGAACAAGAGTCAGACATGCAGACGAACTATTGACCACCGGCGAGACCTATGGACATAGGAACGAGAATTGAAATGCAACAAGTGGCACTAGGAAGTACGTTCACGAAGACGATGAGGGTCGTGCGTGCTATGGTCTCGGGGAAGACAATCCAGAGCAAAGGTTAAAGAAATCCGTGGCTACTCAGCCCTCGATATAATCCCCAAGTAAAGTTTACGATGACTGAGGAAACCCGTGTTCTTTGAAGAAAAGTTCCCAGGAAGTTAGAGCAGCACGTAGTAGTACGTTTGGGCTTACTAGGAGTATGATTCTTCTGTCAACAAACGAAGAGCTTACCAGCTCAAATAATCGGTGAATGTGCAACGGTCAACACCCCAAAGCAAATCCAGAGGAGGAAAGACTGTGAAGAGCTTCGAAAAACGCCCGGGTCGTCTGGCCAGTCGAGGGTACGTATCGGTTCGGAGAGTACCCCTGTCCACGTTGCAGCCCGTGTCTTCCCGTGTCTCCTCAGGGTTTAAGTTGCACAGAGCCAGGTCCCGGTAAGACGGGTTATCCGCTGGGGACACGACCGTCGACAAGAGCGGGCTGCGGGCGCCCCAAAATAAAAAGCCAAGGACGGGAATTCCCGGTCGCCTCTTGCCCTTGTCCTCCATTTTTGGGCCTTTGTCGGTTTCGTATAAATGCTCGTTGCTTTGTTCCTTCCCTTGGGCGATCACCTTGTCCCCTCGCAGCTTCCTTTTTCATCGACGCATCGACGCGTTGAGTCCCGGGACCATGAACACGTACAGGCAAACGTGGGAGCCGTCGACCACAAAGTAAAGCACGGTCGTTCGCTGGGACAGGTATGTGCGCTTTCGTTCGACGAGACGGATTCAGCTCAGGTTTACTTTGACAACACAATGCAATAGGTAATCTAGACCTCGATCGACAGAAGGAAAAGTACAAACGATAGGCCATCCCCGGCGTGTATACGAGGAGAGCGCCACCGTCATGATCAACTAACCCGGAAGGAAGAACAGACAAAGCAAGAGGGAGAAAGGAAAAAGAGGTATGTACACCCAACACCTATCCGATCCGATATAAATATGAAACCATCCACAGGTCCATCCCGGGCCTCTTCGACCAGCACCATCGATGTCCACCCCCATCCTATCGCAGCCCGTCCACCCACCCCTTCAAACCGCCATCGCGAACATCTCGTACCGGGACATATCGACAGCCCCAGGTAACTTCATCTCTTCTTCCTCCGACTCGCCGAGAACGGCATCCTTGAGATGACCGAGGTGACTAGTGAACACAGATGTCTAAGGCGTCATTGTCAGTGTTTGATCGGGAGACAGATGATGAGGATAAAAATGCAAACTCACGTTGAGCTACTGTCCCTTCATGGACTCGGCGGCTCAGTGGCTTGTGTTTTGTCTTCATACAGTGTCTCCAGGTCGGGTATTTCGCGCGTCCTGGCCATCATCTCCATTATCGCGGTAGCTTCGAGCTCGGGGTTGAGCTCGATCTTAGTGGGGGCCCATATGTCGGGCTCCAGCAACGACTCCACATGGCTGAAGTGGTAGCCATCGACTCCACAATGAACGAGGCGTTTTTGGGGCTGGATTGGGCGAGGGATGTCGACGAAAGCCCCGATAGGGCGCCGGTATTGTGGTGGCACTTCCCCAATTACCCGCCCACAGTATAACCAGTGTATTAACTGGTTATAGATCTGGCCCTGGTGTGTTGCTGTGGTCAGTTGAATGTTTATTGGGCCTGGGTGCATGGGACTTACCGGCTTTGGTGAAACCGGAGGCAGATACGAGAGAGCGCGCAGGTGCATTGCGCTAGCAGACATCGTCCCCGAGACTTGGGAGGGGACTAGGTCGAAGTCCCCTATCGCCTGCCTTGTGCTGACCTCTGGGTCAGACTGTATCTACACCAGACCTCGTATCAGCACACTGCCCATGTCTCATGAACGAACCTAGACTTGGGACAAAGGACGAAGAGGAAGGGCATGCACATACCCGGAGTGGGGCCACGATCGGTCGTCTCTCGTGACGAGGTACCCTGGTGCCCGGGTACATTGTCATCCACTCCGACCGCGTCATGCGACGACGAGGGTTCGGCGGCGGCGGCATCTGAGGCAGGATGATGATGAGACGATGAGACGAGGCCTAAGATGTATAGGGGATGTGGCCCATCATGTCTCGTATCCCAGGCGCACATCGATCCTTGGCGCATATACCCTAGGATGATGATGCGCGTCACTATGTCTGCCATGCATGTACGAGAGATCCACTGCTCGATGGCCACAGCCGACGGCCCTGTGGAGGACGCCGACCGTGACCATCGTGAGCAGCCTCCTTGACCGACGCCACCCATCGCCATGCGACATATGGGTGAGGGTGGAGACAGAGGCGGGGAAGGGAACAATGGAGAAGGGGGGTAGGAGATAGCTATGACAAACGAGCGAACGAAGAGGGACGGGCGTAAAGGGAGACAGGGTAGGAGGAGAGGGAAAAAAGGGACGAGAGGGCTCACCTGCATACTGCTGCTACTTGCTGCCCTCTCCGAACTTTCGATCCTTTCCTCCTCCGCATTCTCAACGCCCGAACCTCCCAATGGCCTAGGCTGTGCTTTCGGGGTAGTGTCAGGGGACACTGTCCCGTCGTTGTGGTTGGTAGTGTTGGATTCGGAAGACTGACACAAAGAAAGCAAAGTCGCGACACATGAGTACATCTCCCTATGCGCGCTGCTCGTCGTTCATAGTGAGCCGGCACTCACCATTGTTGTCGAAGTTGTTTGTAATAGGTTTCAGATGGGGGAGATTGTTGTTGTTGCTGTGGTGTAGGAGGACAATATAGAGAGAGACCGGTGAAGTCCATGCCTTTTTATGGACACCGGCAACAGCCGTTCGGCTTTTGGTCGCTCGAAATGGTATAGCGCGCTATCCGGCGCCATCAGTTTAGCCATGGCGACGCGTTTCTACGTGACTTTGTTGATTTGAACCTAATTTTTTTCGTTGATCAGGTCACGCCTCTATGGATGGTCCGTGTGGCGTGCGCGAACTCGATTGCGTCGGCTTCGACGTGCCACCCTTGAGCCACTCGGTCTGTGGCACTCGACGCGTTGATTTCCGGGATCATGAATACGCACAGGCAGGCGCGGGAGACGTCGGCCGTAAAACACAGACACGGTAGTTCGCGTAGAAAAAAATACGTGCATTTTCATTCGACGAGACGTATTCAGCTCAAATTGACTTTGACAATGCAGAGGCAGTAGGTAATATTATATCCGGGCTCCGACACACGGCAATAAAACTACAAACGATAGGCGATCCCCGGCATTTATACACGGAGAGCGCCGTCACGATAAACGAACCCGGACGGAAAAAAATAGACAAGGGAGAAAGATAAAGGAGAAAGGAAAAAAAAAGGTATTCACATCCAGTCCGTATCCGATTCCGAAATACATATGAAATCACCCACAGGTCCATGCTTGACCTCTTCAACCAGCACAACCGACGTCTCTTCCCGCACCTACACCCCTTCAAACTCTCGGCTCGAAATGGGACACCAACGTCACCTCACCGTCGTCCATGTACCCCGGGACATACGGCCTGATGAAGTCTTCCTCGCACCTCGTCGCCACATCCGCCATTGCCTCGAAGTCAACGCAGTACTTCACCCCCGTCGGCCTCGGGATCCGCAACTTCTCGATGCTGGACGCCATCGCCAGCCTCTCGCGGTAGGCCTCGTACATGGACATATCGACGGCTCCAGGCAACTTCACTTCTCCGCCCTCCGATGCATCCGCGAGGTGGCTCGGGTCGACAGCCATCCTCAAACGATGGTATGTCGCGTTCTCCAGGTTCCTCTGGGATAGGTAACCCACCGCCCAGCCCATAATCACCTCGTCGGGATGGGACAAGCCAGGCACAGGCGACTGCATAGATGTCCAAGTCCAAAGTGTAGTGTTGTCAGTGTTCGAGTTCGGGAGATTGATGACAAGAGTAAAAATGCAAACTCACGTTGAGCCCCTGTTCCACCGTGAACGCGGCGAGCTCGGTGGTTTCCGTTTTATTCTTGTTGTTGGTTTCCGGAGCGGATATGTCGCACGCTTTGGCGACAATTGTGGCGACCATTTCGTCCACGTTGAGCTCTGGCGCAGGGATCGGTGGAAGAAGACGAGTCTCGGTCGGGGCGCCGACGTTAGTGCTCGCCCTCGGTCTCGGCGTTGCCGGCGCCTCCTCGTCAGACGTGCCGTTCATGACACGAGGTGGTCGTGGTGTGGCGTGCAGCGACGAATCGTCGCCTGAAGTTGTGACCTCAGACAACACCGCCTCGACACGCGGGCATACGAAATCTCGGGCCTCGCGCGCGACCTGCGAGAGGAGTTTTGCGTGCTCCGCTTGGCGACGACAGGCTCCTCGAGCAGCCTCCGGAAATGTCGATGCGAGGGTCTCGTAGACCAACTCGCTGACGTGGCGCTGTTGGTCGATGGAGGACGGCTGCGGGGTAGGAATAAACGTCGCGTCGTGCTCCGTCTGGCACGCGATTCGGACTGTCGCCTCAGGGTCGACGGTGAAGCGAGGCTCCCCGCCACGGGCGCCCAGACGGAGCAGTGTCCCAGTGTCCCCACATCGCTGAAGTGATGGCCGTTGGGCTGGCGATGAATGAGGGATTGGTACTGTGGCAGGGGGGGAGGGGTGATATGATCGACGTAGGCAGTCGGGATGGATATCTGGCATCGACCGTAGATTGAGACTGGCCATGTCAGGTTACAGAAATCCATAAAGAGGCATAGGGGGAGCGACGGTACGTTCGTGGCCACCCACTCGCGGTGGAGTTCCCATAAGACCTCGTTGAACGTCTCCGCGCTGACCTCGATGGTCCGAGACTGCTGGATCATCGTGGTCAATTGAATGGTCATTGGGCCTCAAGGATGCATATGACTCACTGGCGTTGCGGTCGTAGGCAAGGATAAGAGGGCCTGGCGGTCCGCGTCGCTTGGGGGGAACCTCCTCGCCCCCGACACCTGGCTGGGGACCATGTCAAGGACGCCGATCTCCTTGACTTTCGGCTGAGACCAGACCTACGCCAGACCTCGCGTCAGTATGATGTCCATGCCTCACAACCGAACCCAGATTTGGGCCAAGGATGAAGAGGACGGGCATGGACGTACCTGGGTTGGGGTTACCTCCACGAGCGGCCGAAGGTGTTGAAGGGGCACTTTGACGTTTGGGTATAGTCTTTTCCACTCGCTGCGACTTAAATGACGGCGTGGGACCGTCGGCGGTAGAGTCTCCTCGCATGTCTATAGGGCGGGCCGTTGATGAGTATGATGATGAAACGGGGCCTAAAGCATATAGCAGATGTGGCCCATCCTGTTTCGCACCCCCAGGCGCACATCGGTCTTCGGCGCACATGCGCTAGGGCCATGATGCACGCCACCGTGTCTTCCACCTATGAGAGATCCACTGCTTGATGGCCACAGCCAACGGCCCTGAGGATGCCGCCGACCGTGACCATCATGAGCAGCCCCCTTGACCAACGCCACCCATCGCTATGCGACATGGGCGAGGGCCAGGGCAGGGACAGAGGCGGGGAAGGGGATAATGGAGAGGGAAGGTACGAGATGGCCATGACAAACGAACGAACAAAGAGGGATGGGCGAAGAGGGAGACAAAGGGCAGGAGGAGAGGGACGAGAGAGACGAGAGGGCGAGAGGGCTTACCTGTATACGGCTGCTACCTTCTTCCCTCTCCGAGTTTTCTACCCTCTTCTCCTCTGTACTCTCTGCACCCCAGTATCTCAACTGCTCCTTCGGTGCAGTCGCAGGGGATGCCGTCGCGTTATGGGGGTGGGTGGTGATGGAGTCGGAGGACTGTGGCACAATGAAAGCAAGGTCGTCACATGTGAGTTCACATCCCTATGCACCCTGCTTGTGGTTCATAGTGAGACGGCACTCACCATCGTTGTTAGCTTGCGATAGGTTTCAGATTGGGGGTATTGTCGCTGTGGGGTAGGAGGACAATGAAGAGAGAGACAGGTGAAGTCCGTGCCTTTTAACGGACACCGGCACGGCGCGGCATAAATGTCCAGCTTTTGGTCTCCCGAAATGGTATAGCGTGCTATCCTGCGCTATCAGTTTTTCCATCGTACTGTTTTACGCATGTGGCTTTGTTGATTTGAACCTAATTTTCTTCGTTGATCAGGTCACGCCTCGCTGGATGGTCCGTGCGCACACTCGATTTCGTCGGCTTCGACGTGCCCCCCCCCCCCCCCTGAGCCACTCGGTCTGTGGCACTCTGTTGGCTGCGCTGATTTCCCAGGCGCAGGAGATATCGTCCGTAAACAAGCACGGGAGTTCGTACGTGCATTTTTGTTCGACGAGACGTATTCAGCTGATATTGGTCTTGACGATGCAGACGTAGTAGAGAATATTGCATCTAGACCTGATACGAAGAAAGAAAAGTACAAACGAC